GCATCACAGGGTTAGAGAGTTGACTGACATCCACTGCGTAATCTATTTGCATCATTCTAAGTAGTACATGTGGGCTATTACAAGTATTAAGTATTATATGTTGCATATAAACTACGAAGAAAACCAAGTCACTCAAACATGAAATCCTCTCTTTCTGAAACTCTCTAGTGTTTTTGCAGTTTTGAAAGGGAAAGAACTAATGTACTATACAACGTGTGAAAGTTGAATTTACATGTTTGAATATTATACTGAGAGAACTCATAACTCAGATTTTAACAAAGGATTGATTTCAGCTCACCTAAGCATTTGGTGCTGAAAGGAGATTTGCATGAGAGTTTACTCGTAGTGAGGCCAGCAGCAAGCTACCTGCTTCCTAATTTTTCACTGCACCTTGATGTTATTTTAACTCTTCAAAAGTTGAATTGGAAAGTGGCAATGTTATGAAATCATATTATAAGCATTAATCTTAAGTTTATTTTTTTTACAGTGTGAGTCATTAATTGGTCTATAATTAATTATACCCCCAAAGTGGTGCGTGACCATGAATTATTTGTTGAACTAATTGGAATTGTTATCTCATGAAGATAACAAGTCTCTCTCTGAATATGCATTTGGGGATCAATGTATACATATATTTTATACTTTGGCATAACTGCATCCTTTTGTTGTGTGTGCATGTTGTTATATACTTAGTTTCATCTTAAGTCTTTAGTGGTTAACATATATCTCATTTACGGAACTTCATTTTCTGAAACAAGCATAATTTTCTGTTGATGAAAACTCTTCATCTTCATCTGTCATTTCAGAACTGAAAAAAATTAGTGACCAAATTTTAGCTAATTCTTATCATGTTTTTGCCATTTGAAAATAAAACTGTCATTTAAACATGTGTCATTCATGTCTTCTGCAGTTTAAAAAAGATAAGCAAAGCAAAGATTCTATCTTCTTCCGAGATGGGATTAGGCAAATTGATTTTGTGCTTTCCTATGTTGATGATATAAAGAAAGACGCAGACCTAAAGGCGGTAAGTACCTACGTGAGAGAAATGGGAATGATAAAAAGCAGCACATTCTGTAGTAGTTTCCAAGTCTTGGCTATATTGTAAATAACGCTGCAATAAACATAGGGGCGCATATATTTTTTTCAAATTAGTGTCTTGGGTTTCCCTGGATAAATACCTAGGAGTGGAATTGCTGGCTCATATGGTAGTTCCATTTCCAGTTTTTTGAGATACCTCCATACTGATTTCCATAGTGGCTGCACCAATCTGCAGTCCCACCAACAGTGCACCAGGTTCCCTTTTCTCTGCAACCTCTCCAGCACTTGTTGTTTGTTGATTTATTGATGATATGGCTGATTTTTCTTGATAGAGCCCTTTTCTGGAGATGAGTAAATGCTTGCCCTATCTTATAGTTGATTACAGTCCATTCCCCCTCCCTTACCCCTAAAACTCCTGACCTTTAAATTTCACCTGAGTTATCACTACCCCGCATTGTTGCTGTCATGAATCTGTCCCTGGATCTTCCCTTTTATTTCTCAACAATTTTAGCCCCTGGGTCACTATCACTCTCTCTGCCAATGTTCCTTTTTTAATTATTGATAATCCCATGCATATATCTCGATGATTATTTTGCCATCCTAATCTCTCTGTTCCTTGCACCCCCTTTTCTAATTCTCTTAGTGTCTAACTCAGCCATTCACTCCCCTTGAACTTGTCATTAATAACTACAGCTCTTTATAATCTTGTTCCAGGCATTCATCTGTCTGACCAACCCCTCACATCTTTCTGACTAATACCCGTCTTCCTTCAACTGCCCCAGGGCCAGATAAGATACAATGATCTTAACCATCTTTGTACCTCTGCTCCCTATCTGCCTCTTTCCTAAACTGATCCAGCTTGAATCTCATGTCAACAAATGTAATCACTCTATGACATAGGCCATCAAATCCCACACCCCTGTTTCAATTATACTTACTTGGCAGAGCAACAATTTTAGTTAAACCCCACTCTCTACCTACTGTATGCCAGAACCATGCAGAAAGAAAAGCATATGTGTCCTGGGACCTCAGCTGGGCCCTAATGCTGTCTGGCAGCCATACTTCCTTGTTCTATTCTGCTTTCCACTTTGTGGGATGACTGTTTCATCACTTTTTCTCTCTTCTCACACCTCCAGTACCTCCTCCCCATTTTCAAGCTTAGCTGACCACACTTTTCTACTTCACAGAGAAAGCTGAAGCAAGTAGAAGAGAAACTAAATTTCCATCACCATAACTGTCCATCCACCAACATATTTATTTGTGTAATCTACCATTCTTCCTGTTAACACAGACAAATTATTTACCTTTCTGCCTAAAGCCAACACCACCACTTGTGCCCTGGGTCCCATTTCTTCTTGCGTGACAATCCAGGAGTCACCAGGACCACCGCCAGATTCGGTGACTCATTAGAGGGACTCATAGGGCACTGCATGTAGTCATACTCAATGGCTGTGTTTTATTGCAGTGAGCTGATACAAAGCAAAATCAGCAAAGGGAAAAGATACATGGGGCACAGTCCAGAGGAAACCAGGAGCAAGCTTACAAGAAGAGTTTTCTCTCAGTGGAGTTACACAGACTGTACTTAATTCCTCTGGTAACAGGTGGAGTGTTGTTGCCCACTAGGGAAGATCAATAGGACTCACAATGCCCTAGGATTTTATTGGGGGCTGATCACCTTGTCACCTTCTGCCTAGCACATAGCAACATTGCATAGTCCCCAAAGGAAAACAGATGTTTAGCATAAACTACATTGTTTGTATAAACAATTAAGGTAAAGTTAGTGACTTTTATCACTTCTGTCAATGGTGGGAACCCTCCCCCAAACCAGGTTCCCAGGCACCAGCACCAAACTTGCAGGCAGGCCTTTCTAAGGATAGCAGTTTTAAGCCTGTCTTATTCACTCTTTTCTGTATGCCTGCCTGGGGATATTGCTCATACAAGTCTTTCTTCTCCTAAATTATATTTTGTGTTGTTCTTTACTAGACCATTTCTTTCAAGAAACAGATTGTTAATTCTTCCATACTAAAAAAAAAAGCAAGAACAAAACCTTCTCTTGATCTCAATTTCACTGCCAGCTGCTGTTCATGTCTCAGATTCCTCTCTGACCAATTTTCTCTTAAAACCATTTTTTTTAAAGATTTTTATTGGTGAATTGGGGGGATGGGAACAGTGCTGGGGAATTGGGGGAAGGGGAACAGACAAGTTGCTGTCGTTTTGTTCTTCAGTCTAGTTGTGGAGGACGTTGCTTCACTGGCCCAAGTTGGCACCATCATTGCGCTCTTCCTGGGCGAGGCAGATCAGTCGCCGGCTTCTGGACGGCCACTCACTGCGGCTGCTGGCTGCTCACGCTGGCTGCTGGCTACACACGGTAGCCCATGGCAACCCACTGCCACAGGGACTGCAGCCTACGCCGTCGCCCGGCGACTCACGGCAGCCCAGCTCCAGGTGGAGCTGTTGTTCAGCATCTTAGCTGTGGAGGGCAGTGTCACTGGCCCTTTGGGATCCAAACTGGGTCCCTCTGGCATCCCAAGCCAGTTCTTAACCATCGCGCCACTCAGCTGGCCATAAAACCATTTTTATGAGGCCTTTAGCTCAACCACTCTGCTGATCTTCACATAAATAAATCCAGCAATTAAGTCATAACCCTCATCTTGACCTATTAGCAGCATTTGCAACAGTTGATCATTCCTTTCTCTATTATGTGTGTGCTTCACTTGGCTTCCAGGACTTCTCATTCTCTTCATTTTTCTTTTTTTTTAGCTGAGCCATCCTGCCACCTGTTGGCAGCTCAGCGGCAGCTCAGCTCAGGCTGGGAATTGAACCGCTGTTGCTCAGAGCTCAGACTCTCGAGTGAGCTCTTAACCAACTGAGCATCTCGGCCGGCTGTCATTTTTCTTATTTCACTAGTTGCTTCTTAATCTTTTCTTCTCCCTGATCCCTTATTATTGTCGTGTCTTGGGATCCAGTTCTTAATCCTCTTCTTTTTTCAACCTACATCAGTTTCTTTGATGATACATCCTGTCTCACAGCTTTAAATATGTGTCTGTGCCAATTCCAAAGTTTACCTTTCCAGTCCATACTTCTCTCCCATATGACTGTTCTGCATCTCTACTTGGAATTTTTACGGACATCTCAGACTTGGCAGGTCTACAATGAATTCCTGAACTTCCCACAAAAGCCTGACCCATCTAAAAGTCTTCCCATCTCCTATTAGTCATCATACATTTCAACAGTTCCAAAGGATGTAATTTACACTTATTGTAAATTGTCTAGTTAAATCACTTTTTAGCATATATCCATAAAAAGTAAATGCCATGGAAATTTGATACCCAACACCATTCATTTAAAACAATAAATTACATGAAGAAACCCTTCTTTAACACTTGAAATTTTACATCATTTATTTTTTCTCCACCTAAAATTTCCATTCCACTCTCCCCACATAAAGTTTTCTTAATGTAAATGTTTTATCTTTGATAATCTTTTATTTTTGTTCAATCGTAAATCTTTACAGCAAATAGATGCATTTACATTGAAATGTTTTCATTTCCTTTAACTATAACAGTCTAAGCCTTAAATTTTTTCTTTTGTTTTGAGTTTTTTTTACAATTGTTGAAGTACATAATTGAGAAAGCATCATAAATCTATTAAAAAATTTGACAAGTACTTATCAAACATAAAAAGAAAACTCATCATAAATGCATCAATTAATGAGATGGGCATCATGGCTTTAAAAAAGACTTCCTTTATTCATAGATGAATGAGACTTATTTTTAGAATGAGATGGTTCAGCTTCAACTATATTCCTGTTTTGTTTCTACATTAGTGTAAATTCAGCTTCTTCAGATAAATAAGTATAATAGATTAGAATACAAAGAGTATTATTTTAGCAGCTTTAACCTTTTTTGAGCTTCTGAGTTATACAAACTACAAAGTGATTTATCATAAAAGTAATGTTTAATGATCTGTGAGCTAACAGTCCTATTAGCCCTGTCTTCAATATTGTGGAGCTCAGAAAATTGGCAACTATATGACTTGCAAACACATTTGCTACTACAATGAGAAGAGCCACTCACTTTTCAGTACTGATAGAATATTTTTAAAGTCCCCGTCCCCACCTTGTCTGGTTTCCTGTCTGCCTTATTTGGGTAACATAGGAGAAGAGCAATTATGAAAGGGTAGCTGAGAAAAGAGAACTTGCACCACTATCATAGACCTGTTCTTATATATAGTAAACAATGGAAGGAGAGAAAAAGAACACATTAAAATTATATTTTATTCCTGTTGAAGTTTGAAGATATCTCAAGGTAGACATATGCATTTGAAGATGAGCATCCTATAATAATATTCTAATGAAGCCTTTTACAATTTACAATTTACAATTGCAGTTATTATGAAAATTTTCACACTTAGATCATAATTAAAGCCAAAAGATTTTTCAACCATCAGTGCATTGCTTTGGAGCCCGCAGTACTGATTATTTGCCTTTAGTTTAATTTTACTTTTTTTCTAAGTAAAGCTATTCTGTTCTTCAAGATTGAAACGTCATGATGATATTTTGGCTGAAAATTGCATGAAGAATATCATTTAGTTGAAGAGTATTGATATCTTTGTGATTCTGTGTCTTTCCAACTAGGAGAATGATATATCTCTCTGTTTCTCAAATTTTATATATGTTATTTAGTAAAAGTTTTTCAGATAGAAATCCTGCACATTTCCTGGAGATTATCCCTAGATATATTGGATTTTTATAGTTATATTGAGAAATAAAGTCTAGGTGAAAAGTGGCACATGGCACTAAAATGGGGATAATGCGTAGAGAACTTTATGTGCAACCATGGGAAGGCAGGGGACCATCGGGAGGCGCGGGCTTCGTGTAACAAGTCTGTTTATCACTGCATGAATAGTGTTCTACATAATTCTGTTCAATTTTTTTTCCATAGGAAAGAAGAAAAGAATTTGAATATAACCTCAGAAAAACAGGTCTTGAATTGGAAATTGAAGACAAAACGGTAAAAGCAGTTGTTCATTTATACCAGAATCTTGATATTTTAAGTGTTGTTTTCTCCTACTGTGATGCTTGAGTGGATAAACTTGGTGTTTGGGAACAATACAATCGTTTTTTTTTGGCAACAAATACGTACACTTGGAATGGTAGTGACTGTGGTTGTTCAGGTAAGTTGGCCTTTGCCCTGAATATAAGATGAGTAGAACACTTTGAAAAGAGACATAAATAATTCTATTCAGGATACAAAGAAAGTGAAGATGTGGTTTTTATTTTCTATCTGTCTCATTTTGAAGGCTGCTTGCAACCCGGCACCCTAACTAGTTAAACTGGCTGTTTTGTAGCACAACCGCTGTTTAAGCCAACATGCTTTTACTACTCAGGAATATGCCAAGTTCTCTTTTATTTAACCTATTGCTATTTACTAGTTTTCTAGAATTTCCTTCAAAATTGTTATTAAAGACCTATTTCAGATCTTGCTCTGTCCATGAAACTCTAATGCTCTCTAGTTCTAAATTAATACTCTCTAGTTCTTATTTTTCCCTGTTTTTTACTGAACTAATAAATATGTATCACACCAAACAATCCATAACGTAATTATTCTCCTGTTTAATGAACCCTTATTATCTAAAGTTCTCCCTTTAGGTGTAGAGGCTGGGTAAAAAGAGTGAATGCATCTTATACTTTGTATGTATCCCTCATATATCCTAAGCCTAATTCTGAGTGCATAGCTAGTCGCTAAACACTTGATTGCCCAGAATAACATATGCATCTATGGGTTTCAAGCTAGTGTACGTTGACCCTGAAATATATTTTTAAAAATATTCTCTCTTGGCCTCTCTCTGTACCTGTCTCTCTCACACACACATATATAATATATATATATATATATATATATATATATATATATATATATATATACACACATATATATATATATACACATACATGTATATGTAAGTATAATATACACTATATATCTGTTTTTGAGCATTTGTTCTTCTAAAAGTTTTGGTGAAAATTTCAATAAGTTGAAAATCCTGTGACATCTTTAATTTGTTTGAGATTTTATACAATTTTGTTTCTTTAATTAGCTCAGTACCAAACAGATTAATAAGCTTTCTGTTATTTTGCTTCCTTTTCATACAGAACTCGGAAGATGGACGAACTTACTTTGTCAAGATCCATGCCCCGTGGGAGGTCTTAGCCACGTATGCTGAAGTGTTGGGAATCAAAATGCCTATTAAGGAGAGTGATATTCCTCGACCTGAGAAAATCCCCTTTAGCTACATGCTCGGGCCTCTGAGGCTGCCGAGGAATGTGAAGCATCCGCATCCTGAGTATTTCACTGCCCAGTTCACCAGATATCGCCAGGAACTCTTCCTCATTGATGACAAGTCAACCTTCTTTCCATCCTCATCAAGGAACAGAATTGTAGGTAGAGAACACCTTTGGGTGCATCCCTTCAAGGAAGGGATACATGCTTGTGTGTGATTTTATATGTGTGCATGTGTGCTACTATGACTGCAAGGTGTTTCTGTATAGATTTTTGAGAATTTATTTAGTGTGATTGGATGGGTATTGGACCACTTAACCCTGTTAACCTCCCTGCTTCTCAAATTGTAGTTTAAAAATCAGTGGTTGACATTGTGGACATAGTAAAAAAGTGAGACACCGTGCACTGCTGGGGAAGCATTTAATTGAAAGATAGGACTTTGATTTTATAAGATCTTGTAAAGTGGTTTTATGATCTTAGTGTTTGGTTTTATAATTTTAGTGCATAGTAGGAGGACTATTGTTCATTTTAGATGGCAGTGGGATGTGTTCATTTCTTTATATATAGATAGCATTTGAGAAACCTCAGAACTTTTTTTTTTCATTTAAAACCATTTTCAGTCTTTTGAATAATAATATTTCTTCTCCATTTGTAGTCCTAGGATCTTTAAGTTTACCGTTTAAAGCCTCTCTCCTAAACACTCACAGTGTCTGTGCCATAGTTTCTTCATGTTAAGATAGGAATACTATCCACCTCATATGTGTAGGTTACCCTGAGAATTAAATGAGTTAAGGTTTGAAAGGCTTTGAACCGTTTCCAGAACATACTAAGTGCTCAATAAGTGGTAGATATTATTATTATTGACTTGATTTTACAGGAGTAAATTCAGGTTTTTTGTTGCTCTTATCCCTCCTATCTGTTGCCTATTAATGTAATTACAAAGGTACTAACAATCACAAGACCCTTACCCTTGATTTTATTTACTCTGTTTCCCTGAGCAGTTAGAGATGTCATTCCCTTTAGGTTCAGTACCCTTAAGTGTCTTAGAAGGATTTTGAAATAATCACTTTTTCTCATTCCTACATCTATTTTTTTTAAAAGTTCACAGACGGGAATATTAAACAAAATGTAATGCCTAGAATTGATGTATAAAAATATGAATCCACAAACTAAAAAGTGCCTCTCTTTTCTCACCAGGATTAAAAAACAAGAAACCTAAGAGGCAGCCTATAAGGGAATAAAGAGCACATGACATGGAATCAGAAATCCTGGTTTCAGGTCATAACTCTGCAGCTTTCTAAATAAGATAACCTCCCTTAAAGAGATAATGATAATGCTAGCAGTACTGGGAGAACCAAATGAAAAAAAAAATGCATGTGAGACACTCTGCAAATTGTTAAGTACTTCAGATATGCTTGTTACATTAAAAAGTTGCTAACAAAAGACCAGTGAACCTGTAGGACCAAATTAGGAACTTGATCAGGAATAGAAGTGTCAGTATTCATTTATCTTTACTTGTTCCTTGTAAAGAGTATCAAAACCTCATGTGAATTCAGCACTGAAACACAACAATTTCCCTTCCTTCACGGTAGAACAGTTCTGTTCTTGCTCTGTTGAAGAAGTTGTTTGGAAGATTAAGACATAAAACTTTCCCCTCCTCATCCAGAACACTGTGGTTTATGTATGTACAGATCGAACAGTATTGCAAGAGCATCTTACATTCGTATAAAATTTCATACTTTTCAAAGCATCTTCACAACCATCATATGTACCTCATGATACATACTTTGTAACATCTTATATAGACATAACATAATTTTATTAAACATTTCAATTTCTGACAGGTGTTGAGTTTGTTTCCAACTTTTCTGATATTACAAACAATCCTGCAATTTACAACCCTATGTTTATATATTTCAGCATTGATGTAAAGTTTTTTACAAAGTGGATACCACGTAAAATTTCTGAATCTAAAGGCATTGACATTTAAAATTATATATATATTTACGTATATATATATATATATATATATATATATATATATTATTACACTGTCACACTGTATAAAAATATGTACTAATTTAGAGTCCTAGTAATATAAATAGAGATAGGCCCACAAATCATAAGTGTACACCTCACTGAATGATCACAAAATGCACAGCCATGTAACCACCACCCAGATCAAAAGAGAAAACCTTCCTAACGCCCAAAGGCCCTGGTGCCTCCTACTGTCATGATTCCCATCCTCCTCAGCAGAGGTCGACGCTGACTTCTCACAGCAACAATTCTTTTAGCTTGTTTGAAATTTTATAAAAATGGAGTCATGCAGCATGTATTCATTCTTTTGAGTCTGGCTTTGGCTCAGCATTTATTTGGGTAATTGATTTTGCTCTGTATGAGCTTTTGTTCACTCGCTTGTGTTACTTCATATGGAAATTTATTTGTGTATGTGTTATTATGGCTTTAATTTGCATCTCTCTGATATAAATGAGATTGATCGCCTTGTACATATTTATTGGGCATTTAGATATGCACTTTCATGAAGTCCCTGCTATAGCCTCTTGTCTGCTTTTTAGTTAGGCCTTCCCTAGTTGATTTGTAAGAGCTGTATATATATTTTTTATGTGAGCCCTTTTTTCATTGTCTATTTTACTGATCTTTTCCTACTTTGTGCTTCCCTTTTCTTTCTTTTAATGGTTTCTTTTGATAAACGGATGTTTTTAATTTTTCTGTAGTCAATCTTCTCAAGCCTTTACTTTATGAATAATGGTCCTAAACTTTAATGACCACCAAGATCATGAAGTTAATTTCCCATATGATCTTCTAGGAGTTGTATTATTTTGCTTTTCACATTGAGAACTACTATCCACCTGGAATTAATTTTTATGGTTTGAGATGGAGGCCATTCTTTCCCTGTATGTATAGTCATTCAACTTGCACCGATTACTGAAAACATTCAGTAATTTTTGGTACTGTTTTACAATTCTTCCTTTGTCATAACTTACGTATCTATTGTATGTAGTCACGGGCCTACTGCTGGGCTTGATTCTGCTGCTTTGGTCTCTGTCTATTTTTGTGTCAATATTGACAGTGTTGAACTTTACCTGAGTTCTGTAGTCCTGGAAAACAGGGACAGTTAAAGAAATCCCCCACTCTTCTCATTCTGGGAAACCACTTACTATAAAGAATCACCCTTCCCCATATGACTTAAAGCATACTCATAGATAACCCCCACGCCCACACCCCCAGACTGACTTTGCAGACCGATCTGCTACATAGGTAATCCCAAATTCACCTCGTAATTGAAGTGTTACTTATCTTCATCCAAAAAGTAAAAAATAAATACAATTTCTAATATCTCTGTGTCAAGCAGATAGTTACAACTTAGAGCCAGGTCCCTGTGCTTCACTCACAGAGAGACAGGAAGATCGGGATGTCATGTTTCTTGATATTTACATTTAAAAGAGACACCTTCTAGAAAGCTTAAGAAAAACACTCCTGGGTACACATGTAAAACTGGCAAGAGGCTTACTGAGCTTTCAAAACGACTTAACATACATGTCAAAGGGCTAGAGAAAAATTTTACAATTACAATTTCTCTATAGGAAATGCTCTAAGGAAAGGGGATTGAAGGAATTCTCATTCCCTTTTGGCACAAGATAAATTTCAGTTCTCTTACATCTATAGTAACCCTTACAACCTTCCCCCATTGTTATTACTCTATAGTAATAAGGGTCAGACTCAGACCCTCCACATTCCCATTCTTTGTTTCATAAATGTTTGGCTGAATTATGTATCTCCATTGATTCATAAAAACTTGTTAGCTGAATTGACCAAACTTAGTTAAACTCCTTCCTTCCCTACAGGACCCTAAACTTTGATTTACCCCAACCTGAGCCAACACTGGCTTGTAGAATAGCCCTTCCTTAACACAAAGAAAGACACTCTGGGAACCTGGCTTACTTCTCCCTGTAAAGACAAATTCCTTTTCTGCCTAACTTTGCAGATGTTCACGGATCTCCCCCTTGCAATAGCCCCTCTCACCCTCCACAATAATCTTTTTGAATGAAATCCTTCCTTTCCGAAGTCTGGATTTGTTTTTACTTGACAATACCTTGCTGTATTTATTACCGTAGCTTTATAAGTCTTAATATCTAGTAGAGTAAAATTTTCAACTTTGTTAGCGCTCCAAGACAACTTATTTTGGTAAATCTTCCCTAAAGAAACAGTTAATATTTATCACATTATTTGTGAAACCACCTTACATAAGTTATGATTTATTTACCAAGGTGGAATAGTAAGTTATCAGTGAATAACCAGATTAGATAATGGTGGTTCAGAGAGAAAAACCATTCCAATCAACAATTCCTTAAATGATGAAGTATTAAAAAGGGGGGGGGAAGGGAAGTACATCTAAAACAATGCTAAAAAGACCAAATTCAGCAATCAGAAAAGCAGAAATTCTGCCAAGTCGCTGGAACATAAAAAGCAGGTAAGACTGAATTGACAGAAATACAGAGCTGAGGATACCAAAGCCCAAATTATATGGAGGAGAAAACGGATACAAAGATATAAGTGATTGCAAGATAATTGTAGAGATGTGATAATCTTGTGTTAATAAATTCAGATATCAGGAAAAGGCCCCAAATAAATTATCAGAGTAATTAATTGGAAAAGTATTCAAGACAGCTTGCGCAAGTATCAATTCTACTCCGTATTCCCCTAACTGAATTAGTAGCAATGATATTAGACTCCAACTTGAATCCCTGATTATAGTCCCAGGAGCTTGGGACAGGAGAAGCAAATTAAGTTATGATTCATTCTCCGCTCTCCTGAACGGAATATGGAGCTCTCATCCCCAGGAGCTAAAATACCTGCAAACTCCTCATTAGCCTGACCTTCTCAACATCTTCCCCCAAACAGCAAACGGAAGGTTCCCTTTGTAATCAGAGCCCCGATCTATTATACATTTGAAGTAGACATTTTTAATATGTGACTGAAAAAAGTGTGAAAAGCATAAAATTTTGAAATGTGTGCCTCTTTATGCTTACCTTGTAGGTTTATTATATTCTCTCGCGGTGTCCTTTTGGCATAGAAGATGGGAAGAAAAAGTTTGGGATTGAAAGACTGCTGACTTCCCACACTTACTCGTCTGCCTATCCACTCCATGATGTAAGTGGAAGCTTGGCTTTGAAACACTGAGCCCTTTTTCCTTCTCCCACATCCAGAGGTCGCCTTGTTAGGAGAGAGAATCTTGCATTTGCTTTCTCTTTCATGACAAGTTGCTTAATTTTCTCACATGTAGGGAAAATCCCTGAGAGCTTTACCAGCTATGTGGAAACACATAGGTAAGACGTCTTCGTATTGAGCTTTTCATGGAAGTTCATTTTGAAAAAAATTATTACGTTTGCACGTGATTTTTCTTTAGGACCCATATTGAAAATAGCAGTTATATTAAAAGAACATTTTAGAACATAATATTTGGAAATTTCTATCTGAATTCACCAGATCTTTTCTCATTTATCAAGTTTGGAAGCTGTAAAGGACTTAAATTGCATTCATGCATTCATTCATCAAAGGCATAATTGGCTTTAATTATATGTAAAGCATTCTGTTAGGTATTGTTGGATCATAACCATGAATCCAAGCTCACAGGCTAGGAGTTTCTGGGAAATAATATATGTGTACAATTGCAAAGCAAGCTAAAGACTTCAGTCCTAAGAGACAAATACCTGAGATTTAGAAGAATGATTCTTTGAGTCTGGCAGATCATTGTACAAAACTACCGAGCTTTATAAGTTTAACAAAGAAGAGACATTTTGTGTGATGCACCCATTTAACCAAGCCTGAAAGCTTGACAGCCTAGTTTCTGAGGGTTTCTGAGGGAAACCTTTACTTTTGGATATTCAGTGTTTTAAATATCACCACCTGTGGGTGGTAAACATCATGCAACTGAGCATATACCATATTTCCCCATGTGTAAGACACTCCCATATATAAGATGCACCTTAATTTGGGGGCCTAAAATTTGAAAAAAAGTGTATTATATATAGTCATTGAACTCAAGTTTTATTCATCATAAAATTCATACAACTCCTCCTCACTCTCAAAAAATCTGCAACCACTGTATAAGACCCCAAATTTTTCGAAAAAGGGTGCATCTTATACATGGGGAAATATGGTATAAACTACTTTAAGATCATCCATTGGAACTTTTGTTTCTTTTATTCCTGTTTTATCTTTGATACTTATAAAACAGTTTTTGATGATGTGCTCTCTTTTTGAGAAACACATTCCTTAGGAATATAGAACAACCAAGTATTTCCATTTAAACAAGTGGCATCAAAATCATTGCCCATTATTTTGAAGGTAACATAGCTGTAATAGTCTCTAAAAGCCCAAAGCCAAACTCTTTCTTTTCCAGGACTTAAACTATTATGCCAGCTTTCTTCTGTCAATATTTATTCAACAGGATGGTAATTGACTCCAGTCAGTTCAACACTGGCTAGTTGATTATCTTTGATATGTTTCCTACGAAGGAACAGCAGAATTTTCCAAAATGAATGGCAGTTTTCAACAGTATCAATTCAGGTGAATTTAACTCAAGTCTTAGATAAACCATCTTCCCCACCACCCTCAACCCATGCGCCTTTTGCTTCCCCCTTATTTTGTCCCTGGGACAAAAGACTTTCTAGGAGATTATGGATTCTAAATAATGCCATGGCCATCTGGTAAGGTAGAGAGACTATATATAGTAAACACTGCAATGTATTCCTTGTCAATCTTTCTTCACAAAAGGGCTCATTCCTTTCTTAAGGATTTGAGGATTGTTTGTTTGTTTGTTTGTTTGTTTGTTTGTTTGTTTGTTTGTTTTTAGGGCATTAATTCTCTCACTATTACCGCGTCATAAGCCTAAACTAAAATGACCAAATAGCTCAGTCACCAGAAATTTTAATCCATGCATCCAGCCTTCCAGTAGAGTCCTTCATGCTTACTAGAAAATCACTGTTAGTGAGCTATTGCTAGAGATAGCTATAAGGTACTGTTAATTTTACTTTTTTTTTCTTTCTTTTCTCCTGAATTCAAGTTTAGGTCCTGGGTTTTCTCTTATGTACTTTAAAGAATCATTTTTTCAGATATACAAATTGGCCGCTGCTCTTTTTCTTTTTCTTTTTCTATTGGGTTGTTGGAAAAGTCATGACTTTTCTGTTTTTCGTTGCAAAAATGCCTCATGACTTTTCCAACAACCCACTATTTCATTTCTCAAGATTCAGTACGATTAACTACAGAAGAAAACTGTTGGAATCTGGGTGATATAAAATCTTACACCTGATGAATAGAGATTTTCGTATGTGCTGAATTTAAATTGGATAGTTATTCAATGTTATCTTCAGTAGTTCACTTGTCTAGGCAAACAATTAAAAAGAATGTATTGAACAGCTAGCTGTGTATGGTCAGTGCTCTGGTAGGTCCCAAAGGGGTGTTAATAAAGCTACTCAGTACCCAATAGTAAGGGAAAGAACGTATGCATGAAACAGTACCGAGGCTCTTAAGTGCCAAACTTTGTTGTATATGTTTTAAGTTCTTTGGGAAATGGATATCAGTGAGGACAAGATAGGTTCCCCAGATGGGATACCTGTCATGGCAGTGTGACTTTGGGTCATTCACCGAACTTCACTTGGGGTTTAATTTTTCAATCTATACAATAAAAGCGTTAGCCTATTTCTAAAGTCGCAGCCAGTTATATAGGCATATAAACCCCTGAGCTGTGACTATCACATTCGATTTGAGTAGAGAAGGAAGGACATTTTGGGTGAAAGGAGCAGCTTGAGGAGAGCTAAAGTCTCAAACTTTAACTTGGATTTTTAAATAACTGGGTGTGAGAATTTAATAAATAAATCACTGTTATTTTGGTTTATTATAGATTTTAGTAAATAATTTTACATCAATGGAATATGAAAATCCAAGCCTAAAAGTGAGAGAACATTCGCCTCATTCGCTAACCTCATAAAAGCCGTGCTGGTTTACGTCGCCCGTGTCTTTTGCTTCGTCATTCACATATTTTCTTCTTGACTCTCTGTAGGGTCAATACTGGAAGCCATCAGAACCCCCTTATCCTGTCAATGAAAGGTACATGCTTTGCCAGAACTGGGCTCGGTTTTCCTATTTTTACAAGGAGCAGCCTTTAGATTTGATTAGGTAAGTTTCTTACAGAGGAACAAACTGACTAAAACTTGATGATGTGATTTTTATTCCCAGTGGCATCATATTCCATTCTTTTTACTACTATTCTCACTGACTACATTTTACACCTTCCCGGTTTTGTAACTCTACTATCATTTAGTCTTTCATTTGTGAACAGAATGCTTTTGCCAGGATGCTCTTAGCCACCCTTCAGAGATAGCTCGGTGGTGCCTTGGTATTTAATAGGCTGGGTTCAAATCCAAGTTCTTCCTCTTAGAAGCTATCTAAACTTTTTCAAGTTATGTAACCTTTATGAAAATGAGAATAACAATAGTACTTTTCTTATGGGGTTATTTGATAATTAAATGAGATATATATATTTTTTTAGCATAGGGCCTAGCATTTAGTGCTTAATCATAATGCTTTTGTTTTCCTCTCAGTCCAGGAATTTAGAACATAGCAGAAAAGTTGTGTGTGGATGTTTGTGAAGACAATCATTCTATAATCTCAATTCTTTTTTTTCTTTTAATCTTTTGTCTCAGGCAATTGACAAGCTTAGTGTCTGACCCTGTCTGAGTTCCATGTTCTCTGACGATTTCTTTAGACAGTTTTATTAGCTATGCAGGAAGACTATGGCCACAGGCTCCTGCTTTGAACCATAGTAATGCTACATATATACAGGATGTTAGGAGACTCCTGCTATGATTTCATTAAAGGAATAATGAGATTAGAACAATTCACTTGGTGATTTATGCTTGTACTATGTTGCTTACACAACATCACAGCATCCTTTTTAGGAGACTGATTTTGATTCATACATCCAAATTAGTGGATATGTTTTCTCAATAGTTTTGTTTAAGGCAAGTAAGGGGAAACTTTTAAGAATAAAGGGCAACTAAAATATATAAAATGATACTTTCTGTAAATCATTACATGAACTCTTTGTTGGATGGATGTTTTAATTGTTTTGAGTAATGATCATTTAATTTTTTAAATTATAAAACTAAAGTAGCACATTTGTCAAAGAAATTTCAACTAATAAAGAGATGTCAAAGTTTTAAGTAAAATTCCACTTCCATTGAATTTGTGGGGGTAACTACTCTTAATTTGGTAATATCCATTTGGTCTTATTTTTATGTGCATGCATAATAAAACATACAAATGCATTTTCCCCCGTAGATCAATGCTATCTTAAGTTATTATTTGCTTAATTCTTTTTGCACTAAATAATACATTATTAGCACTCATCCCAATACACACAGATTTATTTAATGCTTCTTAACAGAACACAAAGTGCCATACTATAAATTTTGCATAACCCATTTATCTACTTTTCTATTGAAAAACATCAGGTTGTCCAAAATTTTTCACTATAAGAGCAAGGCTGCTCAGAACATCTGCAGACATTGTGCCCTTGGAGCATATTTTCATAGTATACATTCAAAGATGCAGTGTTGTCAGAATGAAGATTTACATATTTTACATTGTTAAAAATATATTGAAAGTATTTATTCATCTAACATTTTTAACTGTCTGCAGGTGTTTCTGATTTAAGTGTTCCCCAAAGGTTTGTATTTACAACCCTAGATACACGGGAACACACTCCATCTCAGGTCACTGCAGGCGTACCTGTAATACCTTGTTAGCACTCGCTCATTTCCTTTTACAACAAAGTGGAAGCTCAGGTATTTCATGAGACAGTGTCAAGCTTAAGTTTAACAACTTTTAAAGTTTTTCATCCTGTTATTAAGTAACTTTCCATTTATAGCAAGTCATACTGCTTTTTACTTTCAATAGTGAGATCCTTTTTAGTTGCGGGTGGACATGGCCTATCATCGAACAGGCAATCTTGTTGTTACACCAGCTGAGCCATCCTGACACCTGTTGGCAGCTCGGCGACAGCTCAGCTCAGGCGCAGTGTCACTGGCCCATGTGGTTATGTAAGATAATATCCTTATTCGTAGGACTAGACAACAAAGTATTTAGGGATAAAGGAGCATGATGTATTCAATCAACTTACTTTCAAATGGTTCATAATTTCTTTGAGACTGTTTTTACTTCTCTATGTCATTTTTATTCTTGGGTAGGTTTCCTGTTTTTCTTTATGTCTTATTAGATTTTCACTTAATTTTCCCGTTGTTCACTCTTGAATACCACATGATTTCAGCATCCATTCTGATATGATCTTATATGACTTTTCTCTTTATTCTTTTTCTATAATCCTTTCACTTCTCATTTTAATCCTGTTTTTCTTCACTTCTCTTTTTATGTTTATATTTCTGTTGTTTTCTTACCTTTGTAATTATTCATTTGAGAACACTTAGTTGTTTGTAGTGCTTTATTACAGTATTCCTCATGTTCTTTTGGGAGAATTTTCACTAGCTGAACTTGTTTCAAATTTTGGGTTTTTTTTTTAATGTAGCTTTGATTGGCTATGGTCTGCTTTTTTTCCATTTGTGTTTAATTCACAGACTGAGTTTCTAGCATTAGACTGCCTGTTTCTGTTAGTTCTTTCCTAGTCTGTGCAGTTTCTTTTATGGATGATGGTGTGTAGTTGTCTTGTGCCATTTCTTTCATTTCTACAGGATCCTAACTATCCCTCTTATTTTCTTCTTTCTCTTACTGCCAAACCTTTAAGGAGTACCGCCCTTTATATCTAATTCTTACTCAGAAACAACGCTTCTCTGAGGCTGCCACTTCTGGTCTCACTCATTTTCAGACTCCTTCCTTTTAGCTTGTGCTATGAATTAACCAAGTTCCAACATATGTTACCAGGGGTTATTTTGTCTATGCTTGTGTAATGTCTCCACCCTACTTTACATTTTTTTCCCCTAGAATTTCCTAAGCATCTTCTCAGTTCTCTGTATCTCAGGTTTGTGGCAGCAGGTGGCAGGTGTTCTGTTAGAATTGGGGTTATTTTTTCACTTACAGGTAATTTGAAGGTCATAGCGTTCTCCGTCATGAGGATGAAAAGCCTGTATCAGGTGTAGTTTTATTCCCTATCCTTGCTGATTTTGTGGCTTTTAGGAAAGGTTTTGTAGTAAAACTTGATAAAAAGAAAATATCCTAAAAAAGAGAAAGCAGTTGTCCATACATGCATAATTACAGTGCACCCGTTCCTTTAAAGAGCACTTATTCAACATCACTAGATATCAGGCAACAGGCCAAGGCTACAAAGATATTAGAACATGGTCCCCAACATATATTTGAACATATTTGCAGGAAGACACACCAATACATAACAATTACAGCAGAGTGATGCTCATGAAAGAACAGAGAGCAGAGGAAAAGGCACCTACTTACCTTTCTGACAACCTCAGGGAAAGTTTCATAGTGCGTATTTGTGAACTGTGTTTTGAGAGATAAATAATGGGTGGCTAGGTAAAAAATAGTTAGGTAAGAATATCCCCAGCGGGGAAAACAAGTACAGAGCTCTGTGCTAAGAAAGAGCTTGTGCATTTAATTCATCATGTGGGAGGAATAGCAGGTGAGATTTGAATGTTATCAGGAACAAAATTATGAAGAGCACTGCTAAGATGAAAGGACGACACCTTTGAAGGAGGCAAAGGACATTGTTGAACTTTTTCTTTAGAAACATCACTGTTGGGAACAAGGACGATAGCTTAGAAAGATGCAAGACTGAAGTCAGGGAACTTAGGAGGCTATGAAAAATTTCCAGTAATAGATATTGAAGGTCACATCCAAGGCACTGGGAACAGGAAAGAGGAGAGGCTATGGATTAGACAAAGATTTTTACGAGAAATTATTGGACCTAGTGGATGATTAGATATGGGGAGTAAAAAGAAATAAACAAAGACAGGATGACTTGGGGTGCCTAGAAAGAGATTTAGAATATAGGAATCCGAATTCCTAGATTTCACATATATCATGGTATCCTTATACCACACTTAAGTTTCATGTCCAAATATTTGTAAATAGTTTTATTGCCTTTTGGACACTGATTATTTTCTCATATTAGATTTTTTTTTCCAGTAAAAATGGAAATACCAAGGTTGCCATCATTGTTTTATCGGTCTTTAATTTTATATGCCTTCTGATCCCAATTTTTCTTTCCAATTTGAGAACTCCATGTAATTTTTCTTTTGATATCAATTTTGTGTGGCTTTATGCTCAGAAATATAACTGATATACTAAGCTATATCACATGTAGTTTAGAATAAATATATTTATAGTTAATATGATGGTGCTATTAATATAATAGCTAAGCTAAGTTTCTCAGATGTCCTTGAATTCACTGTAAAAATGAATCTCTTTAGACCGAATGTTTGCATTTGTTCATTTATTCCTTTAGCCAGTGTTCAGTTCAGTTCTACCATCATTCTTTCCATTATTTGCTATGTCTAATACTAAGTACTAAGTCCTGGGAATACAAAATTAGACCAATGCCTTCTTATAAAAATTTCACAACCAATATTTGTGAATGCCTTCTACCTATCAGATGCGGTATTAGATAGTGTGGGGCCATTGATGAGTTGAACGTCTAGTAAGTAACATGGACAGGTTAAAAAATACCATAGGCTTAACTACAAGGTACATTTAAAAAAAATTAATATTCGAGGGGTTCTATTTATATTTGAGTCTTTTTAGAGTGTCTCATATTATTAGATTTCTCTCATTTTCTTTGTTATGAATAATAAGATAATTTAGCATCTTAATGTTGTTTCAATAATGTACACATTTTTACCATAATACAAATATTAGACCGGCCTCTTATTTTTGGCACTCTTAAGAGATTGTTGAGTTGTTAATCTATTATTGTTAAGCTCCCAAGTCTAAAGTTTAGTAAAATATTTTCTATATTTCCATTTATAATAAATGCTCATCTGAGAATTTCTGTTTTTGAAAGCCTTTTTTAATACTAATTAAAGTTCTGGAGTTTTGAGAACTTTTTTTTTGTTTAATTCTCAAGGAATAAGAGTCTTGCTATTTGAAAGGGAGAAAAATGTAACTCTTTAAAAATAATATTGAAATATCCATTTTATGAATTTGTAAAGAATTTTTAGGTTAAATCTATAGCAATAATATTAATGTTTTACGTTAAAAATTATTAATTTTAAAAAAAATTTTAAAACATCAAATGGGGCTGGCCAAGTGGCTCAGTTGGTTAAGAACACGAGCTCTGAGCAACAGGGTCACTGGTTAGATTCCCACATAGCCCAGTGAGCTGCTCCTGAACTGAGCTGCCACTGAGCTACCAATAGGTGTCAGGATGGCTCAGCTGGTGAGAGCAGGTGCTCCTAACAAGGTTGCCGGTTCAACTCCCACATGGGATGGTGGGCTGTGCCCACCCGCAACTAAGATTGAACATGGCATCTTGAGCTGAGCTGCCCTGAGCTGTCGATGGGGGACCGGATGGTTCAGTGGTTAGAGCATGTGCTCTTAGCAACAAGGTTTCCAGTTAGACTCCCGCATGGGGGGGATGGGGGATTAAAGGACAACAACTTGGCTGTTTCCCTTCCCAAATTCCCCAACACTATTCCCCTTCTCCAATTCCCCAATAAATTTTTTTTAAAAAATCAAATGGTAATAGACATCATGAGTAGTAAATCCCACAAAAATCAAATATTTTTTCTCTTTATTTAAAAATCTGATGTTATGCAGTGTTATAGTAATTGCTATATTTTTCAGCAAATAGGAAAAAAAAAGGGAGAAGCAAGTTCATTCATCCTAAGTGTGAGTGAACCTCAGGAAGTTGTAAATGGCAAATTAACAAGGGAATATGATGGAACTGTGATTTGATTTCAAGTTTATAGTGATTTGAAGAGCAGAATAAGTGAAAACAACAATGCAAAAATACCACTGAAAAGAATGAAAGATGGGAAAAGTAGTAAGATGACTATTTAATTAGAAAAGATTAGAAATTTTGAAAGTTGAAGAACGGGACGTTAAATAAAATTAATATTAAATATAAGAAAATATTTTAAAATCTTCTCATTGGGAAATTAAGCTATGCCCTTCATGTTCAGAGTTGCCTTCTTTTGGAAATTACAATTGAATGTTACATGCTATAATAGATTTATATATAGCATGCTGTTAGTACTGAAAAGGGATCACATCTATCTGCCGTGGAAAGGCTTTACAGATTTGGCGAGGTGAGCTCTAAGTGAATGAGGAGGCCGATTAAGATGGTTTAAACAAGCAAAAAAAGACCTCTGGTTTTCTGAGGCAGAGAAAATTATGTTCCCTTGTTCCTTGAGGGATTCCTTAAGGGGTAGTGGGTTTAAACGCAACAACAACAAAAAAAATCAAAAAAACAAACAAAAGAAAATAAAACTTGATTGTAAGACTTAAACATTTCTGCCCAGTAATGCTGTTACTTTTCAACTCCTTGTAAACAAGTGCAGGACTGTATATTTTATGGAACTTTTACTAAGCAGCCATTTTTAATTTATTGGTGTGCTGCCTACATCACAATTCTGTAAGTATCCATCAGAGATCCAGACTTGAAGGAAGATGGGGTTTTATATATACCTCCACTCCTGCTTAATGTGGTCAGAGTACCTTCAATTTTAGAAAGAGAAATAAAGCAAAAGTCTGTGCAGTTTATGAATGTAATTTTGGTTTGTTAAGTTAATCGCTATAAGTTACACTGCAGAATGTTCTGCAGTTTATTTCAAAACATGTAAACGCTAAAATTTAGAATCTTTTCAAATCACCTCATTATTTCAAAATTAAAACTTAAATTTAACTCACTTGGCTTCCTGCTTAGATTTGATATCTCTTTTAATTCTTACACCAATTCTGTGGATAAGCATCATCCTGCATTTTGTGATGTGGAAACTGAAGCTTCGAGCATTTAGTAACTTGACCAAAATTATACAGCTGGAAAACAGTAGAGCCAAAATTACACTCCAGGCTTGTCTGAATGCAAAACAAGGCTGTCTGGCCTGTATCATTCTTCCAACCTCAGACTCTATTTTTATCCTCTTTCATAGGAATTACTATGGAGAAAAAATTGGCATCTATTTTGTCTTTCTCGGATTTTACACAGAAATGCTGTTGTTTGCAGCTATAGTCGGCTTAGCCTGTTTCATTTATGGCTTATTATCAATGCATGGCAGCACAAGAAGGTAAGTGCCCCTGATTTGCCTGAATAGAGAAAACGCCTTGATCTTATGCTAACTGAAACGGGTGTTATCATTTCCCTGGCATTTGTTTCAGAATGTTTCATTATGGCAGCAGGTAATTGATATTTCTGAAAGACCCAACCAGGTGCCCCTCACCTAGGGCTTTATGGAAAATCCGTTTTTAATGATTAGTTCTAAAGATTCTGTTCCTCAAAGCCTAACTTGACTGACCACAAAAATTGCTGCTTCAATACCCTTTCTTGCCATGTGTGAGAAGCCATATAAACAGTTATTCTGGTAAGAGCAGCTTTTGACTTTCACTCAAACACATATCACTTTCAAAATAACTTTGCTGTTCTCTCTGCAGCACTGAAATCTGTGACCCTGAGACTGGAGGTCAGATTATCATGTGCCCTCTCTGTGATCTAGTGTGTGATTATTGGAGACTAAATTCTACGTGTTTGGCTTCAAAGGTACGTTGGTACGTTGATGAGACTTAGAATTTCTCTCCTTTTGCATTACATTGAAACTAAACGGGCTTTGTGATGTTATGTTTGTTTTCAAAGGTCTCCCATTTGTTTGATAATGAGTCAACAGTGTTCTTTGCAATATTCATGGGAATTTGGGGTGAGTAAATAGTCACATTAAAAAATAGCTCTGTCCGTGTTACATGTTGTATGGCTCATCTGTACAACATACACAGATGGCATGCCTTTTGTACCAAAGGTGATTTTAGATCTCTGTCTTTGCTTGTGTCAGTACCCTGATGGAGTCCACTAAGCATTCTTTAGTCTTGGTCCTTAGTCCAAGAAAGGCCCCTGTTGATCATCTGCTCATTTCTCTGAGATCCAAGAGAATTTTTGAAACTTCATATGTGTTCAGCTCACAGTCTCCTAGCACTGTGGTGAGAAACAGGCTCAATCAGTAGTTAATTCAGGAGAGAATAAACGTCAATATTTGGTGGCTGAAGGATACAGAGTCATGGATACAAACTGGAATACGAACCAAAATAAATTACTGAGGGCCAATAAATCAATTTTTGAGTCTCAGTTCCCTGTGGCTAATTCCAGCTTCGAGTTCCAGTCGATAAAAATCTTCCATATAAAATGGAATTGCCCTTGATTTTGGAAATGTCCCAGTATTTCCTTTTTTCTCATTTCATATGGTGAGTAGAAGTGTTACGAAGTTGCTCCTACCATCAGCGAGGAAAATATCTTCTGTAAGAGTAACTTCAGCAAGAAGAGGCCTAACAACTTCTAAAACATGTCCCAAAATTCAGGGGACTCTGGGAAAAATAGACTTTTTTTCTTTCCAATTAAGGAAAAAAAAGAAGTCTTTAACAAATACAAATATGTGCATTTAAAAACTGGGCAAAGGGAAAGGGTAGCTTGATCGAGGCACAAAGACAACAAAATTTGTTGGTGTGTATGTGAAGCACAGGGATTTATGAGTTGCTGTCACTTCTTGCTTGGGTGCTGTCATCTAAAGAGAACAGCCCAGATTCAAAGAGAACAGGACAGGGACATCTTACTAACAAATTCTCCAGCAATGCCAAGTTTGGCAAGTTGGTGTATGGACATCTCTTCATCATGTGGCTGCCAAATCCTGCCTTATCATTAATTGGAATTGGAAGTGAATGACAGGTACATAAATTAAAACAAGTCTAGTAGTTTTCCATTGTTTCCATTGAGAGAGATTGTACACCAACATCAACCTTGTATTTCATCACAAACAGAGGCGCAACCATGTGTGGCACACCCAGCAACACTATAAGTGTTTTGAAAAGGTGCTACAATCAGTTCTTTCAGAAAAGTTTATTGTAGCAGTGACTTGATTTCGCTTTGGTGTTTGAGAATCTTGGCCAAATTCTATGAAAACAGAACTTCAAGGATATTTGTTTTAGTACAAATACTAATAAACAACTGAGCTGAAACAAAGGACGAGTTGGCAGAGTAGGTGTGAAGGACAAGCGTTCCAGCTTAAAGGGGCGGCACGACTCACGCCAGGAGATTGAGACCTGAAAACAATGTATACCGTGCTTTGTACTGGGGGTGTGGGAAGTGTTCCTTTGTTTTGTTTTTTTAACTTTTTGGCTTCTTCATAATGAAATATATATATATATATATGTATATATCTACACCTACAATAGGAAATTCAAGGAGTATATAGAAACCGAGGGAAAATAATGTTAAAATTACCAGAAATAGAGTTTATTTATTATTTTGGCCATAATTTTTCAGAATCTTTTACTTTGTATTTGTGGGCATGTGTATTCACATAATTTTACGTAAATGGTATATAGTATTATGCATAGTTTTAAGCCTACTTTTTTATTCAACAAACGATAAATGACGGGACTCCTTCCAAAGCAAGGAATATGTGTGTGTACGTGTGTGTGTGTGTGTGTGTGTGTGTGTGTGTGTGTGTGTGTATCCAAAAAATATATACAAGTGGACACTTCAGTCACCGTTGTTCAGGCAGTAGTTCACCATAATCGGAAGTATCTAGACACTGATGGTCACCACTTTGAGCACCTCTTGTAATTGCAGAAGTTAAGTGTGACTTGTATTCATCTTTTTGCTATTGGTATATATTGAGTATTACAACCAAATCGATACTTAAAAATAGAAGAAAAACTCAGTTATTTTCTTACTCACTTTATTTCATACATTCATTTGCCTGTAGTCACACTGTTTCTGGAGTTTTGGAAACAGCGACAAGCTAGACTGGAATACGAGTGGGACCTGGTGGACTTTGAAGAAGAACAGCAGCAGCTACAGCTCAGACCTGAATTTGAGGCTATGTGTAAACACAGGAAAATGAACCCAGTGACTAAGGTACATTGCAGAACTGAAACAAGCAGCGTGGCTCAGTGGCCACGCCCCTGTAGGTTACCTCTGAAATAATGATGTATATTTTAATTTGCCTTTAAAATATTCTCCAACATACCAATCATATACACTCCTTTACTCGTTTCCATTCTATATTTCAAACACATACAAAAGTAGATAGAAAAGCATAATGAACCCCAGGATGGACTCACCACCCAGCTTCAATTAATACCAATTCATGGACAGTCTTTTTGTTGATACACCTCCCTGCTGCTAGAGTATTTTGAAGTAAATCCAAAGCATCATATCATGAAACACATCATTTTAATACTAAATGATATAAAAGAAAAAATGGAAAATAGTGTGTATGCTGTGAGTTTTATGTATAAACATGTTTCCTTGGGAATGATACTAAGTTAATATGCAAAGATTAAATTAGTATTTTGCTAAGGTAGTGGGCTTATGAGTGATTGTTTTATGAGACCAAATTTTATTCAACAGTCCCTTTTCATTGATGGTAATCGGAAGATCATTGCATTGCTGTCTGGGAATGAAAGTCTATATTTTGGGACCCTTAACTGGCATCCCTTCTACATGTTGCTGACTGAGTAATTTGACTCCTTGGCCTCAATGTTTTTGCATGTGAAAATGGAAGGCACTTTGCCATGGAAAACCAGGCCCTTGGCTGCATATTCGAGTCCCTAACTTTCCATACTCTATAGTCACTGTGCTACTGGATGCTGTTACAGGGAGACGAGAATATGTCTCTAACACAATCTCTTCAGTAGATTTGTCCTACTCTGTTCAGGACACTGTTCTTGCAGTATAATACTCCAGCAACATTCTTTATACAATTTAGGCATTCATTTAACGTTTACTAAATTGCATTGAAACATTACAAAGAATTTAGTAAATGAATAAAAGGGAAAAACGCCTGAGAAAATGCATGAACAGCTTAGGAGGCAATTGCTCTCCATCCTTGCTAGGCTGTAGCTTTCCCTGAGCTGTAGTGGACCCTTTTGGAAGGTTTCTACTTTGTGGACCCTTTTGGGAGGTTTCTACTTTGTGGACCCTCTTGGAAGATTTCTACTTTGTGGACCCTTTTGGGAGGTTTCTACTTTGTGGACCCTCTTGGAAGATTTCTACTTTGTGGACCCTTTTGGGAGGTTTCTACTTTAACGGGGCTTTGTGCTTTTGATGGCTGCTTGGAGTCCCAACTTTGAGGGTCGATTTTGAATTTTGCTGTGATTTCTTCAAAATTACAGGAGATGGAACCTTACATGCCTCTACATCATCGTATTTCATGGTACTTTTTATCAGGAGCCACGGTGACATTATGGGTGAGCCTTCTTTCTAAAACTGTTACCACCTCTTTGACATGCAGTCGTATTAGGATCATCTCAACAGTTGTCTCGGAAATGGCTCTTGAGTTCCTTCCTTCCTTCCCTTCCCCTCCACAGTCTTTTCATCTTGATGGAGCTCTTATGTGAAATCAATTGTCATTTACATGGATGTGCCGCAATCGAACCTTGGAAAGATAGCTGGGGGAGGGGAGAAAAGGAGTTTTATCTTAGAGCTTGTCCCTTCCCCCGACAACTCTTCATTAATTAAGTAATAACTTGAAACCACACCAGTTTAAAAAACAATTTGATTGCACGTTTTGTGGTTAGTTTTTTTTCAAAATCATTCATTTATCTTTATCTCCACTTAAAATGTCCGCACAGAATGAAAAGAAAAACCCTCATATTATTAAAGTTCATGCTCTTGCTGAGATAAACAAGAAAATGTTACTTCTGCTTGATGAATTTAATTGTCATACCCCATTGTGGGGGAGCCAGGTTTTCTTTATGCCTTTTAGCTATTAATATATTTCCTGCCCTCCTTTTTCCAAATCGGTGCCCTCTTATAGCTGGACTTTAATTTTAGGAAAAGAGGTAATGTCACCCTCTGAAAGTTTAGCATGTTGAAGTATAAAAAATTAGCAATTATAGACCATAGCTGAGCCTCAGCAATCCATTTTGTCCCATAATCTTACCTTTAACATTTCTTGTTAAAGGTACTATTTTTTTCTATTTTAAATATGTGTTTTCTTAGATGATTGAATAATTATTGAGGAGTGAGGATGGACTAAAGGATAATAATCAATTTGGGTCTCTCCTTGAGAAATATTCTAGAGTGTGGTCCCATAAACATTATTCTTTTATTTCTAGTGTTCATTAATTTGATGCAGTTCCTCAACTTTCAGAATAAGATTCACCAATCATTGATATAAAGCCATCCCTAGATCTTTGTGTTTTTTGCAATATGGGAAGTGTATAAAATTCGTAGCAGACCTATACGAATGTCTAAACTATCAGGCATATTGGACCACTAATGGCAACATTCTGAGGGGAAGTGAAATACAATCTTTAAATGTATTCTCCTTGGGAAAGTAAATAATCTTCAAACTACGTGTTTAACTATAATCTAGAGCAGACCTTGGCAAACATTTGCTGTCAAGGGGCCAGCTATATTTTAGGCTTTGTGGGCCACAAGTAGTCTCTGGCATGTAATTGTCTTTACAGCCTTTAAAAATGCAAAAAAGAACATTCTTAACTCAAGGGCCATGCCAACACAGGTATGGCCATGGGCAAAATTTGACCATCTAGCTAGTGTAAACACTTGCATTAGGATGGGCCTAGCAGATGGGCCATGAATGCTTTCCTGTTTTAGATTTACTCAGCCGCTACCCTATGCCTTGTCTCTAACCCATGTAACTTACTGGTGTTTATTTCCTGCCACGTGTGGTGAGAGAGACCAACTTGGTTTGCTTTCCACATCAGAGCTTCTAAATGTACTGCGATGAAGAGAATGGAGTGTTTCAGACGTGTATGCAGCACCGAGCCCCAGAGACCAGAGTGATCGATTCTGTCTTCCTTCCGCAGATGGCTCTCGTCATTGCGAGCATGGTGGCCGTGATTGTGTACCGCCTGTCAGTCTTTGCCACATTTGCCAGCTTCATGGAAAGTGAAGCATCCTTAAAGCATGTCAAAAGTGTCCTCACTCCTCAGATAGCCACATCACTCTCTGGATCCTGCTTGAACTTCATTGTCATCTTGATCTTGAATTTCTTTTATGAAAAGATATCTGCCTGGATTACAAAAATGGGTAAGCCGGCCAAATCTTTAGTGGGACACTGAAAAAGGGTGCCTACCAATGCTATACATCCATTTTGGACCATTCCCCCAGGGAGCTGATTTTTTAAAGGCCCATTTTAAGATGGTTTTGCTCCATAGGGAGACCCATATTCTGGTACTTGAGAAAATCCCCTAGCAGCTACATTCAGACCTAGTGGAAGCAGGAAGAAGATCTAAAAAGAAGAATTAGAATTTTGTGCATCTTTTTTTATTCTTGTCCTTATCCTCCCTTGATGGATTTAGTTGAATCCTAAGTAAAATCCTCACTCTTCACAAGGCACAGATATTTTTTATTTCATGTGTATGGTTTTTACAAGATACTTGGTTTTAAAAACCATCATGAGAAAAATAGAAGAATCAGCTTCTCCTGAATAAATCTAAAATTTGGTACTTCTCTTTTCAGTTGCCATGTCTGAAAACCTGGATGACTATTATTATTTTTAAATATTAAATTTTCTCCTTAAGCCATGAGGGAAGGTAAAGGGGTCACCCGTGAAGTGGGAGATTCAGTTGGGGAGAGTAGCACACAGTTGCTTCTGGTCTTAGCAAGTTGGGAATAGATGAGAGACTGAACTCGAGGCCTCAGCTTCTCTGAGTGCTGTCTCCAGGAGCTCCTCTTCTAAATTCATGCAGTGGCATCATGCCCAGTGTAACCAGAAGGAGCACATTTTTCACTCAGCGCTGGAGTAAGCCCTGGGAAGCAACTTTACTTAAATATTATCCTCCAATTTGGAGTTCTTCTCTTTCAAGTTTACTTCTTTTTTTTTTTCTGCTAGCAACAACAAAAAAAAATCATAGCAGATAACACCTTAAAAGTGAAGTCCTCAAAACATCACAGCTTTCCTCAATGAGAAACACCGCTCGTATTCACTTTAGAAATTTTGTAGGAATGCAACTAAATTGCACTAAAGTGGAAGCGTTATCTGTGTCCTTAGAATAATAATATGTGTTACTATTTCAGTATTGCAGAAGATTTTATGGACTTGGTTGGATGAGCTCATGCTGCTGGGACATCAACAGCTCAGAAAAACATGCTCTTATTCTTTTATGCCTCATGATGCTTTACTGTAGTGCGAAGAGAATCTAATATTCTCTTATCTTTGGAATTCATTAAATGATAGATCATGATAAAGAGAGAGAAAATGTGTACTATTATTACTGCCACCGTTTGCATGACATGGTTTTCAAAATGTACACAGCCATTTAATTCATGAGAGGAAAACACAATTTGGTTTTGGAAACCATCCTCTACCCTTGATACGAGTTTACTTTGTTTAAACTTGATTGAAAACAGATGAGAGAGAGAACAATATCTGATGTGTTTACAGGAGATCATATAATGTGTGGGGATGAGCATAAGGCTCTTCAGCCTGAAATGAGGCTGATTCTGACGGTGTGACCCCAGGCAAGTATTTCATCCCTTTGAGTATAATAATGACCGCTTCCTAGGCCTCTCCAGTGATGAGATTAATGCAAAGCCTCTAATGGAAAGTGCAGCACAAATCTATAGTTAGCTTAATATTGGTCTGTTCTGACCAGAGTGGGAGGCATTGCAACAGGCTCTCAGAATGACATGATTAGATATCCACTTGTCCCAGGGATTACAAAATTTAGGGAGGAACAGGAAGTTGCCTTATTAAACCTTGGTGTTTTTTACTTACCAGAAATCCCCCGAACGTACCAGGAGTATGAAAGCAGTCTGACCTTGAAAATGTTCCTGTTTCAGTTTGTAAATTTTTACTCATCCTGCTTCTACGTAGCTTTCTTTAAAGGGAAGTTTGTGGGCTATCCCGGAGAATACACGTATTTGTTTAATGTGTGGAGAAGTGAGGAGGTAAGAATTCTCTTGCGAGGTAAGGTTTATGGTTTCAGTCACTCAGTGTTAAATAAATACCTTTGTGAGTGTGCATCCTAACTCAGATTTTATCAAGTTGCCAGAGAAGTCTAAGGCGCTGACCATGTCCACAGAGAATATTGGACTTACGATCCTGTCATCTGATAGATTTTTCAGTTCCTTTTGGGCAAGAAGTTATATTGTGCTTATTCGGTAGTAAAATGTGAGATGTGAAATGTGCTACGTAAGTTCTGCATTCCAGAAGGCTTCCTGCAAAGAATGAAGGATAGATTTCTGGAAGTGTAGCTGAAAGGGCTCTGCCATGGGTAAGAGTGGAACCAGATCAGTGGTTTCCAAACATGGCGGTGCATCCAAAGCACATGGAGAAAATAACAACTTCCAGCCCTAACGCAGGTCTAAAGAAGCAGAATGTTCTAAGAATGAGATCTAGAAATCTGTTATTAATCTATTCCGCAGATGAACCTAATGCAGCTAGCCTGGCACTGATCTGTGAGCATGCTTGGGACTATCGAGATCAATATCCCTTTAATAGCCATTCCAACCCAAATCTTCAGATTCAAATCTGAATTGGGATTTTCTTGTTGTTGTTATTGCAAAAGTCCCATCTCTCATCATTCATTCATTCTTTTTTTTTTCTCTGCTCACTTCTGACTAGTGTGATCCTGGAGGATGTCTAATAGAATTGACCACCCAGTTGACCATCATAATGACTGGGAAACAGATCTTTGGAAACATTAAAGAAGTCATTTACCCGTATGTATGACTTATAAGTTTTTGCTTGATTTAAGTAACCATGAGAGGCTCCCTCTGGATGAAAATGAAATTCTTCGATTATCATGGTGCCTTTGTTAGCAAATGTTTAAGTCAAAACAACAAACAAACAAACAAACAAAAACCTTATTCAACAGTCAAGAATGCATTAAGGTACCATAGGCTTTTAAATATGCATTTCTGTTGCTTGAATGAAGTTGAGGGAAAGGTAATTATTCCCCTCTCCTGGGAAAATTCCACTTGTAAATATAAATGTTATAGCCTCTGTAGATTTTCTCCATGTTGCATATTATTTCTTAAGAGAACAAAAAATTGAACTCTGAAAAAGTACGCATTTTTCATGGACACATCTAAGGCACAAAAATTGGTGATGAGTGAAATGCTGGTACGTGAAGGGATTGCTCTCTGTTCCAAAAGCATAGCAATAATGAATACACTATAAAAAGGAAAAAACAAAATGACAGTTGATCTCAAATATAAGATGAAAATTCCCATGGATAAAAAGAGAAAGAATCATAAGCCTGTAATCCTGCAGGGCTCCAAGTGAGGAAATGACAGTGTCAGGGTTTAGCACCTTCAAAGTGGGCTAAAAGGAATCCATTTAAAGACAGATGACTGGCCAGTTTAACTGTATTTGAAGCCAGGGACTGGTATTATTTTTGCTTAGTCCTTAAAGAAGGTTAGAAACACCCTCCTGTCTGCTCCCACCCTACCCCCACAGTTCTATAGTGCTTCTTTGGTTCTATTTCATATGCTGGCAAAGGAAGAACATAGACTTATCCTTTCAAATAGTATTTGATATGCCACTTTCCTAATATTGCCAGAGAGAAATAATTCCAAACTGTTATTTTGAGTCCTAGATCTAAATTGAGAACCTGGAGGGCAGAAAGGAGGTAACCCCTAAACCAAACACAAGAGGGAGAATAAATATTCAAAGAGAGGAAAAGAGACAGATGGGAAGTAAAAGAAAAAAGAAATGAGTAAAATTAAGCCTACAAATCAGTGTTCCAAAACTGATGATGAAATTTAATGTCACCAAGGCTGCAACAAAATCAGTTTTTAGAAAGTGAACTCTAGCTAGAAGATTCTGGCAAAGCCTAAAAACATAAAAGGATCAGGAAATAACTGAAATAAAAACAGATATAAATGAAACAAGAACAAATGAATATGAAAAAGAATCAATTATACATAAATGAAAAATCATACTTTTTTGGTATACTTTATTTTATTTTTTTATTATTATTAGTTTCAGGTGTACAGAACAATGCAATAGTTATCCTTTTCACCCCTCACAAAGTAACAACCCCCCTCCCCCCATCCACTGCCCTCCCATCCCCGATATCATACATATCTATTACAGTTCCATTGACTTCATTCCCACTCTCTACTCCGCATCCCGTGACTATATGTATATATAATTATAGTTGACATACAATATTATTCAACATCAGCTTCAGAAGTACAATGGAGTATTACTCAGCTATAAAGAAAGAAATTGTTCCATTTGCAACGATTTGGATGGACCTAGAGAACATTATGCTAAGTGAAATAAGTCAGACAGAGAAAGACAAATACCATATGATCTCACTTATATGTGGAATCTAAAAAACTGAATAAATAAGAAATGTAAACAGAAATTGTCTCAGAGACACAGAGGAAAAACTGCAGGTTGCTAGTTGGGAGGGGGTGGGGATGAAGGAGAAGGGGAAGGGACGAGACAATACAAATTGGTAACTACAATATGGCCTCAGGGATAGAAAAGACAGTCTGCGGAATATAATCAATAATGCTGTAAATATTTTTTAGGGGGCCAGATGGACTCATGTCTTGTGGGGGAGACCACTTTATAGTCAGTATAGAGGCCTGACCACCGCACTGAAAAATCATACTTTAAATAAAGAGTACAATAGGTGGGATCAGTTACATACTAGACAGAATTGAAGAATGAACTAGTGAATTGAAAAATAGTACTCAGAAATTCCCACATTGTACAGTGCAACAGAGTGACATAGGATTAAAAATATTAAAGTGACAGGAGGCTATATTAATAGGCTTCCACTTAACTACAAGTAAGTTCCAGAAAAAGAAAATTGAGTGAATAGTGGAGAAAAAATTTCTTTGAATAGGTAGTTGCTGAAAAATTTTCCAAAACCGAAGAAAAACATGAGTTCCAGATGTGAAAATGAATCCTGAGTATGAAGCAAGATAAATAAAATTAAGTTCACACCCAGATACATTATGGTGAAACAACAGAACATCAGAGATAAACAGACAATCTTAAAGTCTTTCCAGAGAAAAAGAAATATATTCTACACTATCAACAGATTTCTCACTAATAGCATTAAATGTAAAAGACGGTAGAGCACTTTCAAGATTCTGAGTGAAAGTAATGTTCACCTTAGATTTCTAGAACCAGATTAACTACTGTATAAAGTGCAGGTGAAATTAAGGCATTTTAAACATAAAAGAACTATGAGTTTACGTTCATAGAACTGACCTTCATTGGAAGAATACTGAAAGATGTTCTTGAGCAAGAAGGGAACACAAAATGAAAAGTGTGGGATGCAAGGAACATTGGTCAGTACAGAAATTTTTAGCTCCAGAAAAATGAAATACTTTGGGCCTCATATGCTGAAAACAACAAATATATGGGCCTCATATGCTGAAAACTACAAATCCTGATGAAAAAACTTATTTTATCTTATATAAATGGAGAGAAACAGGTTCATGGATTAGAAGACTCAACATAGAAAAGATGCCAGTTATCCCCCAAATTGATATATAGACTTGTTATTCCAATCAAAATGGCAGCATTTTTTGGACATAGACAAATAGATTCTAAAATTTATATAGAAGGCAAAGGAACTGGAATAGCCAAAACAATTTTCATAATGAATAAGATTAGAGAAATTACACTACTCAATTTTAAAACTTATTATAAAACTATGTTATTCAAGACAATGGAATTGGTGAAGGAATAGACATATAGATCAATGGAACAGGGTAGAGATTGCAGATATAAATCTACACAAATAAGGCCATTTTATTAGTGACAGGTGTAAAAACAGTTTATTAAAGAAAGAATAATCTTTTCAACAGCTGGTGCTAGAACAATTGGACATCCATATGCAAAATAATGAAATGATGTAAATCTTACACCTCATTCAAAAATTGACTAAAAATAAATCACGTTGATAAATCGTTTTTAAGAAAACAAGGAAGTGATTATTATAAAATTTAAGATAGTGGTTACTATGTGGGGACTGAGGAGTTTGTAATTAGAATGGAGCACATGGGAGCCCTTCTGTAATCGTGGCAAAGTACTCTTTCTTGAACGGGGCAATCTCCTATCCCTGTGACTCCAGTTGCGTATATGCCCATCTGTTTGATATTGTCTCAAAATTCTCAGCTGTTCTGTTTCCTTTTCTACATTCTTTATCTCTTTGTGTTTTAGTTTGGATATAAGCAGTATATAAGTGTTCTTTTTAATCCACATTGGTGACAGTACTTGTCTTATTTGTTCATTTTTGCCAATTTGGAGAGTATAAATGAAAACTCATTTTGGTCTTATTTGGCATTTCCATGGTTAATAACATGAGTGAGCTTTTTTTTTTTTGCCATATGTGTTTCCTCTTTGTAAACGCTTATTCATGTTATTTAACCATTTTTCTGCTTGTCTGTCTTTTTCTGATTGATTTGTAGGAATACTTTATAACTTCTGGTTACTTTGTTTTTGTTTGTTTGGTTGGTTATAGGTGTTGCAAATATTTTATCCCAACATAAGTTTTGTCTTTACTTTTCAAGAGTGTCTTTAGATCACAGTTTCTGAACCTCAGCACTAATTGACATTTTAGGCCAAATAATTTTTTGTTGTGGAGGCTGTCCTTTTCATTGTAGGACATATAGCGACATCTTTGATTTCTACTCACTAGATGCCAGTTGCTCACCTTCTCCCCATTTTAACAATCAAAAATGTCTCCAGATATTACCAATGTATGCTTGTGGGCTAAATCACTCCCAGTTTGGAACCACTTCTATAGATAGACAAAAGTACATACTTTTACTATATTAGAATTTATTAGTTTTTTATGGGCTCATATTTTTTGTCTCTTTTAGTAAATCCTTCCTTACCTCAAGATCAAAAAGATATTCTCATATACTTATTTTTTAATCGTTTAAACATTTTAACATTATTATCTTTCTCTTTTAAATTCTTAATGTATATGGAAAAAAATTTGTGTTATAAACTGAAATTTAATTTTTTACACACACACACGTAATTGTCGGTTACCATTTATTGAGAAGTTTCTCCCCTCCACTCTCCATGATCTGTAACACCATTACAGCCATGTAGCAAGTACAAGGCTATTACCAGGTCTTCGTTCTGTTCCGTGATTCTTCTGTCCCTGCACCAATATTCCGCTCTCAATACAGCTTTATAATAAATCTTGATAGCTGGTGGGAAAGTTTTACCAACTTATCCTTCATCTACAGAAATATCTTGGCTACCCAGTCTTTTATCTTTCAGTATAAATTTTAGAAACATGTTGTCGGATTTGACATGGAAAAATATTTTGTTTTTTATTGAAATTACATGTGTTTCATTAAAATTGAATTACAGTTTCAATAAAAACAACTGACAATTTTATAATACTGAGTTTTTATTGATGAACACTTATTTTGGATTTTAATGACTTTAAATAAATATTTAAACTTCCAGATATTGGTCAAATAAATCTTTTATCAAATCTAATTCTAAGTACTTTTAATTTTAGTTACTATTATAAATGGCATATTTTTAAAAATTATGTTTTCTACCTGTGTCTTGTGGGTATATAGGAAAGAAATATGCTGATATACTCTACTAGTACTTATAATAATTTTGTCTAATTTCATTTGATTTTTCTATGCAGATAGTCTAATCACATTATTGTTAATAATCATAGGTTTCCCCTTCATTTCCAATTCTTTTGCCTTTTTCTTTTTCATCTTATTTGCTGGCTAAGATCACCGGTAGAATCTTAAATCTGATCATGCTCACTCTTATTTTGTTCTTGATTCTAAAGGGAATGCTTCTAACTTTTCCCTATTATGAATGATATTGGCCCAGGATTTTGGTAGATGCTTTTGATCATGTTAAGGTAATTTCAAACTACCAAGGACATTTTTCTCAGAAATAGAACATATAATCCTAAAATTTATATGAAACCATTAAATTTTGGAGTTTATAAAAATGGAAGCCATGGTAATCTTGAGAAATAAGAACAAAGTGGGAGGTATCACACTATCCAACATTAAATCATACTACAAGGCTATAGTAATCAAAACAGTATGGTACTGGCATAAAAACAGACACATAGACGAATGGGACAGAATAGAGAGCCCAGAAATAAACCCATCCATATATGGTCATTTAATCTATGACAATGGAAGCAAGAATTTACACTGAAGTAAAGATAGTCTATTTAGTAAATGGTGCTGGGAAAATTGGGCTGACACATGCAAAAAAAATGAAAATGGACCACCTACTTACACCATATACGAGAACAAATTCAAAATGGATTAAAGACTTAAATGAAAGTCCTTCTTTTTCTATCTTTCTGTCATCAATAGGTTTAATAGGTGCTTGAAATATATCAAGTGTATTTTTCTGCAGCAATCGACATGATTTTATATTTTGCTCCTTAAATCTGTTAACGTAGCCTGTTACATTGATTGATTTTTTTTAGTAAAAATCCTTTTTGTTCTTTAAAGTAATCCAACATTATTATGATACATTATTTTTTATATAATGTGGAAATTAGTTAGGTAATATTTTGTTTAGGATTATTGCATTTAGTTTCATATGTTAAATAAACCTCTGCATTTCTTTTGTCATGAATTTCTGTTGTAACCAATTTCTCATTTCCTTGGGTGTCCTTCTTAGTATTATGAGAACCTAAAGGTTAGTGAATTAAATAGAAAAAAAAATGCCCTGTGGTGACCCTCTCCTCTACATGCACTTTAACAGAACTGTCTCTGGGTAAATATATTTCTGTGGGGAGATTCAGTGTTGTTGTATTTTCTTAATCACCTCAATAAAGAACTTTTGACCTCAGTCTGTGTTGTGAAAAGAATACTAGACTTAATGTGGACATTAGCTGGAGCCATGTCTCTTCTACTTTGCTCTGTGGTCTTAGGTTATTTAACCTCTCTTACCGCCAACTTCTAGATCTAACACTCTGATTCTGTGACAGTCCTCTCCCACCCCCACCCCCACACACCTTTTTTAAAAATCTCTATTTCATTTATTACTTTTATCACTTCCAATAGCTTTGCTCTGAACTGGTGGAGACGCCGAAAAGCTCGGACCAACTCTGAAAAACTATACAGTCGATGGGAGCAGGATCATGACCTTGAAAGTTTTGGATCTCTTGGACTATTCTATGAATACTTAGAAACAGGTAATTTTCAACCACTTGTCTTGAAACATAGAGTCAGGCTAAGTAAAATAAGTGTTTTTTCAGCTCCTAGTAGTTCTTCCTGCCTTGTACATAGTAGGTGTTCAATAAATCCTTGAATGGTGGATAAGAAGATAGACAGGGTTATGTAGAAACGATTGGTTTAACATTTACATTACCCACGAAATAGACTGCAGAATGAAATTTGTTTCAAAATACAAGTCTTAAAGATATTTTCCTATCAAATGAATGCTAATATTGCCGAACCAAATAAAATAAGGATGACTTTTTAATACCTGCCTCAAATTGTCTTAAATAGCTATTTCTCCTTTTGTTTGCCTCAGTGACAGCTCAGAGAGAGAATAAGTTGTAAAACATTTCCAAAGTCTTACATACTGTTAGTGTATGTCTGTTATTTCAGGCTGAAAGAAGAAGATTAAAATTAATTATTGAAGGGAAACCCAAATTGAACACAATAAACATGTAAGATTTTCTAAGGATTGAACACAAAAAAAGAAATTGAGGTGAAATTTTAGAAGAGAGAGTGATGGGGACTGCTTATACAGTCTACTCCTGGTGTGTTTCCTTTCAGTGGCATTCTTTGCTTCTTGGGTGGAATTAAGGAGGACAATTTCTTAAACTTATTCTTAAGGCCCATAAAATCATGATTGAATGAATGGGAAGACCTGTTTGTTAATGATTCTCTGTAATGCATGCATATGATACCTGGTTTGAAATAGGTAAATTTATGACAAATAGAAAGGAGCCTATTTTGTACAGCTGGCTATAAAATTAGGTAGTTCTTGTTTTATGGGACAATAAGGCTGTAATTCTTTGTAACTAATTGTGTAAGTTTCAAATGAATTTGTATATAAATTCATCATAGATTATAACTAAAATTAAAAGATAAAATCAAGATTTCATAAGATTAACTATCATTTATTGAGATGCAGCTAAGAGTTAATTTATTCTGGATGTTTTATATATATTATCTCTAATCTTGAAACATTCTACAGTGTAGTCATTCACTACATTTTATTTTAGAGCAGCGGCTCTCAACCTTCCTAATGCCGCGACCCCTTAATACAGTTCCTCATGTGGTGGTGACCCCCAACCATAAAATTATTTTCGTTGCTACTCTACAACTGTAATTTTGCTACTGTTATGAATCATAATGTAAATATCTTTTTGTTTTCCGATGGTCTTAGGCGACCCCTGTGAAAGGGTCGTTCGACTGCCAAAGGGGTCGCGACCCACAGGTTGAGAACCGCTGTTTTAGAGGATACTGAAACATGGACAGGTTAATTAATTTGCCATGTTCCACAAAGATTTTAGGTAAAGATCTGAATCTGAACCTGGAGGAAAATTCAAGCTGTTTCTACATAATGCTTCCTCTTAATTTTTTATCTCTTGGTTCAATCAAGAAGGTAAGAAAGGAGACAGTTTGTTCACTTGGTTTAGATGACAAAGCTGATTCTTATGAAAAAATTTTAGGAGAGAAGCTGAAATCCAGACATACTTGAGTTTCATCTAAAAATAGAGGACTAGTGGAAGACTCTTTCTTCCTTCAATGGAAAGCTATTCCTGTATCTCTTTTTTTTTTTTCACTCGTGGTAAGCCCAGCTACCATTTGATGATTCTTTTATCCCAAACATTGTTGGAAACAAAAGAACAAAAATGGGGAGAGAAGCTAGCTTACACAGGTGTTAAGTCTAAATGAGGAAAGAGAGTAAAACTTATTGAGAAAGATACTAAGATAGTACAGAGGGTCAGGACTTTAGCAAATACCAAATTCCAGAAAATGTATCTTTCTTTCGCCCACATGAAATTTATATATATTTCTGATGATTTAGATATTCATTTTCTGGTTTATTCTCAGATATCTTGTTTTGTACTGCCTTTTTATGTGTCTGTTTCTTCAATCTTAAGTAATACATTCATTCATAAGGCTTGTAGTTGAGTACTTTTATAAACCCAGCACAGGATGGCTATTGGAAGCATGCAAATGAATCAGTCATTATCCATGATCTCAAAAAAATACATCGAGTAGCAGGACAGAAAAACCTGATTACCCCACTAATGTGGCAATACCAAATGTAAAGGCTAGACCAGCATAGACCTGAACATAGCCTATAAAAAAAAGACTACGTTTTAAGAATATCTTATCTAACAAGAATAGATGCTTTCTTCAGACAAGCAGATCTCAAGAGAAACAGCAAGGACGAAACTGAGCTATGCATACCCTGTTTCTCCTTCTTATTCTATCAAGCAAATAAATCATTCTGCTTCTTATGGGGAGGAGGAAGTGGGCAGATAGAAAGAGGCCTGGAGTGTTTTGCTGGTGCAGATCCTTCCAAAATGAAGGAACTGGCAAGAGTTGGGCAGAATGTTCCTCCACTTCCCCTCCATGAGAATGAACTTACAAATTTTTCTTTTTTTCCACACAGTTATCCAGTTTGGATTTGTGACATTATTTGTGGCCTCTTTTCCTTTGGCTCCTCTTCTTGCTCTCTTGAATAATGCCATCGAGATCCGAGTGGATGCCTGGAAACTTACTACTCAGTACAGGAGACCTGTCGCTGCTAAAGCTCACAGCATAGGCGTTTGGCAAGACATTCTTTATGGAATGGCTGTCCTTTCTGTTGCCAGTAATGTAAGTGGACCTATTTCAGTGCAGGGACTGTATTTTATTTTGTTTCCTTGGGGGTGGGGAGAGTTTATAAAGATAAAACATCCCTAAATTTTTGTGCACTAAACAACATAGAGAAATCTGTGACATGTAAACCCTTAGAAATGCAAGTAAAATTGTAAAGTCACCCTCATCAACATACCATGATACGGTTTCATAGCATGTGACAAAGTGGACAGGAAACAAAACATGGTATAAAGGATTTGGATCATACTATTAAAGCTTGACTATACTCGTACATAAAGTTGTATATTACAAACAGAAAATGCACAATGTTTACATGTTATGTCTATGGAACACTTAAAAAATTAAAAAATGAAAACAAAACTCAGTTCCCAAAAGCAGAAATTGTACAATGCATGTTTACCTACATAATAGTATGAAAACTAAAGTTGATAATAAGATAGTAAAAAAAAAGAACGAATAACCACTTAATATTCACACTTCTAAGTCAACTTTATTATATAAAGAGGAAATAAAATTAAAATTATGGAGAGCACTTAATTAAAATAAAAACTTGTAGGAATTGGCTAAAATCACAGGAAGAGAAAATTTATAGCAATACAGTAATGCCTTGGTTTGTGAGCATAATTTGTTCCAGAAACAAACTACTCATATTGCAAGACATCGCTCATTTACCAAGTTAAAATGTATCGGAAATGTTTGCTTTTCTTGCGGAACAATTGCAAACCAAGCTATTCACAATCAAAGGTTTTACTGTAAATGCTTTTATTATTAAAAAAGAAGCCTGGAAATCATGAGCTGAGCATGTAACTTAAAAACTAGGAAACATGTAAAACTAATCAGTAGAAAGTAGTAAGAACTAATAAAGATATAATCAGGAATAATCAAATTAAAAAACAAACATAAACAATATAATTGTTAAGTAAATCAAGAGTTGGCTCATTGGAAAGACAAAAGAGCAAAACTCCAAAAATCTCAAACAAGAAAAAAAGAGTAACAAGGTACAGGTGAGAAAATTGAGAGACTGCTATGTACATATTTATTCCAATAAATTTTAAAATCTATTTGAAATTGTCACTTTTTTAGAAAATAAAAACTGCCAAAATTTATTCAGCAAGTGATAGACAACCTGAATGGACTGGTAGTAATATTAAAAGTTTTTAAAAATCTGTGGAAAATGTAGATGGCAGAGCCAGATGGTTTTAGATTGATTTATCTGTCTGTTATTTATACTATATAGAGCTTAGGGAAGGATGGGGAAATTCCATTCCTATGAAATCAAACACTGAAATTAATTGCACTGAACTGTGGGAAATTTACCAGCTCATAGTCTGTCTCTCCATTCCCTCCCCACCAATGTCCCCACCCACACACACACACACACACACACACACACACTCCCTTCCACACACTCACACACTCACATACTCACACACTATCCTAGCTTGTGGAGTTGGTCTAGGCAAGTGAATTTGGTTAAAGACCGCTCAACTGTGATGAAGCAATAAGAAATTTAAGAAACAGAAAGGCATGGGGGAAAGAGCATGGTTTTTGGAGGTTCAATTTTCAACTTAGTCACTTTCTAGCTATGAATTCTTAGAATACCAGTCGTATGCTGTAAATGAGCTATTTCATGTTTTAGGCCAAAGACTCATATAGTAACATGATTTATAGTAGCATTTTAATCATTTTGCATCCATATCGCACGTGGAACTAAGAGATACACAAATCAGACGTTTTTAAAACTAGCTTGTGAGCTCATAATCTCCCTCTTGCTTGGTCCTTTAGGCTTTTATTGTTGCATTTACATCGGACATCATTCCCCGCTTAGTGTACTACTATGCCTACTCAACAAATACCAGTGAGCCTCTGAAAGGATACGTCAATAACAGCCTGTCCGTATTCCTCATAGCTGACTTACCAAACCACACCGCGCCTTCGGAGAGACGAGACTTCACCACTTGCAGGTTCCCTTGTTTTCTTAGGTTTAAATTTTGCCCTTTAAACGTACTACTTAAGTTCTTAATTTCCTTCATGCCTTACAATGTAAAGAATTTCCTCAGGGTAATAAAAATCCTGGGTAAATAAAGTGCATCAGTTCTACAATTTATACATTGTATGATTCTGATTTGGAAAAGTCAAACATCCCAAAGTAAGAGAATAGTATGGGTAAATAATATCACTTTGAATTGTTTCTTATTTCCTAAATTTATTGAAAGATTTCTCACCAAAACGTGCCCATTGATCCCAAGTTGTAATATCTATAGATCATACAGCATGATTGTATTCTATATGCATTTAACCTACTTGAATTTAACTATAAGTCCTCAAGAAAAGATAGAGTGAGAAAGAAGTAAAAATATGATTACTTCACCATCCATCCCACTTGAAGGGTTTCTTCCATACAGGGAGTGTGTGAAAATAGATTTGTGAACCTACTGTTTCTACACTTAATGTCTCATGTATTGTGAGAGGATCTTTTCACTCTAGGTTTTAAAGAATATATGTATATAATACTTATAGAATATGTATATAATTATTTTATTATATTTTATTGCATAGGTAGATAGATGATAGATAGATAGAACATCAAAGTCCCTTTACTTAAATCTTAAACCAACTGCTTCATCTTAGATTCTAACAATGAAGCAGAATGTGACAACACAGGTAGACAGAAGACTTGTTAATAGTGCGTATTTGCATATGGAGGCATCAGCATAGTCTTTAGAAAGAGCATGGACACTTGTGCCACCTTTCTTGGTGTCATCACTTCCTGACTAGACTAAAGCATTGAAGAACTTCAATGTCTAACAACTTTGTAAAAAATAACGAGCTTACAAAGTTGAGCACTAGGAAAACTCCAGAAGGACAGTAAGGAAAACAAAAACAATGCCATGTCAGATAAGCCAAGAGAATAGAAATGTTCAACAATATCGAGTTCTAGTCTTGAAAGATCAAATAAAGTGAGGCTTAAAAACATTCCTTCAATTTAATGACAGGACACAATTCGTTACCCTGGGGTGATGGGTAGAACTAATTGTGGTAAGGAGTAAGAAGGGAGGGAATGGAGATGGCAAAATTCATCTTTGAAGGGCAGGAGAGGTTTCCCTGGTGTCTCCTGCTACATCTACACTATGCATAAGCTACATTTGGCCATGATTTTTATCTATACAGGAAAGATAAATGTTTCATAATAGTCATTATCTTACTGTGACTTGACCTTTGTTGTCAACTCTTAAGAGGAATAATAAGAATTTATGCTAGGTCTGTTTGAAGCTACAGCTAATTTTCCTCATTTCTACTTTTCAGGTATAGAGATTACAGATATCCCCCTAATCACGATCAGAAGTACGCTCATAATATGCAGTACTGGCACGTCCTTGCTGCCAAGATGACCTTCATCATAGTTATGGAAGTAAGCCTTTCCTAAGTTTCATTCCAGTTTGTCTCCCTTTAGCCATATATTTCTAAAGGCATCTGCTCAACAGAAAATTAACAGTATCTCAGATTGTTTTCACCGTAATTGTTGTCATACAAAGTACTTAAGGATATTTTCAATACAATGGATTGCCTCTTTTACACTTACTATTGTTGAGGATATCAAGGGGACAAAAAAGAACAAATATTGCCTCATTCCTGGTGATCAGGAAAAGGACAGAGGACCCACTGATTTTACTGACTATCTATTATGTACTGGCTCCAGGGGCTATCATAATAACCTTGTAAGTTAGACTTTATGACTCACCCTTGAAAAAAATGAATCTGAGACTCAGAAAAATTAGGTATTTGGTTTAATGATAATCCACTAATATTAGAACTGGGTTTTAACGCCAGAAGCCTCACTCCCAAGCCTCTGCTCTGTCCACTATATTAGGTTCCCTTCCTTGTGGAATATCTAGTACAATTATGGATGTAAGACATGCAATAAAAGAATTAATACAGAGGTGGTATTTGAGTAAGCTGCAAATTGAATGCTACAAATCATAAGACATGATTAGGCCAATTAGGAAGAGATAAATCAATGGAAGGCACTTTTTTCCTCTACAGTAATGCCTGATAATAGACAAGTCTATGCAAGCACATACAAATTCCAATCCATTTTTGTTTAACTTATTTTATTTTTATCAAGGTTATACATGTAACTAATTTAAAAAGTCAAATAATTCTACATGATGAAAAAGAGAGCAGTCTTATGTAATATTCCTCCCCATGTTTTTCATCTCTCTCTCTCTCAGTTCTTTGTGAATTTATCACTCTTTTGTTCTCACATTTTTCATCAGAAGTTTAGATCACCTTTCAGTCTGGTAAATTGCTCTAGGAATATTTTGATGTTTTGTTTTTGTTTATTTATTATTCTTATTAATTGTTTAATCATCCCAGGCTCTGATTCACCATCATTCTGAGATTTCTCTTCACCTTCTCTTGTACCAAACCCTTTTTTTTCCCTGTAATCTATGTTTCTCCCATTCTTGGATTGCTAGCTTATTTTAAGGAAGCTCATCTTTCAGTAATTTTCTGAGGAAAATATGGGTGATCAATTTTTGAGATCTTGAATATTGAAAATGTCTTTTCTTTCCTTATAGATGATTAATTGGTATACAATTCAAGATTGATAGTCATTTTCACCTGAAAAATTTTCTACCAACTTTATTTATGTATTCTTAAAATTTTTTAAGACATTCCCCTATTTTCTGTCAGCTTCCAGTGTTGTTATAAAATGCAATACCATGCTAATTCCCCAGTCTTTGTTTATGATCTTTTATATACCAATAATCCTTGAGAGTTCTCTCACTAGTCTTTCTTTTATGAAACTTCACAAGGCAGTTCCTCTATATTGGTCAATATTGATTGTTCTGAACCCTCACTAAACCCTGCAGATCTGAAAACATACTTACCCTTCAAGTTGAGAAAACTTGCTTGTATTCTTTCTCCAATAATTTCCTTCTATTCTCTGTTGTATCTTTCTGGAACTTCTATTATTCAGATGTTATACTTCCTCTTTTGAAAATTTAATTATCATTTATATTCTCTTCTACAAACAGAGAGATTTATATCTTTGGTTTTTTTTCCTGTTTTACTGTTCCTTGGCTCTCTTTGTCTCTGTTTTCTCTGTTCCTGTTTTTGTGTTTCAATCTCTTTCTTTCATGTTAGGTACTTTTTTACTTATTCAGATGATGGTTCTTAGCCATCAGCTTATATTTAAGAGTGAAGCAATGAAAGCTAATTATAAGCTTTGTGCGTATACATGAGGAATGCTGCTTGGTGAGTTTCACTGTAGTGTGATAAGGTAGAGATGGGACATTTTCATTTGAGACCTACAAAATTTTGATATCTATAGTTCTAATCTCACAGACTATTTTCCCCAGGGAAAAATCCTTCAACCTCCTGCCTGTCGAACTGTTTCATGGCTGCCTATTTTCTGAGAGCTGAGCAAGGCAGAAGGGACTAGGGATCTCAGAATTCAGTCGGCTGAATTTCACCTAGTTGCCCAGTTTTCAATATGGGCCACGTCTCCATCCTTCACCATCTCTAGTGCTTCCGAGTCCACAGGTTCTGTTTTAATGTCAGTTGTTTCCAGGGTGGGGATGGAGAGAAGTAAAACCTGGGTACAGATGGGAGAGAGGTTCTGAAAATTCAACTGCTTTTTATACACGTTTTTAGCTAGTTCTCTTGTTATCAACTTCATCCACACTTACGCCTTCAGGGTCCTTAATACCTTCTTTCCTGAGCTTTTCTGATGATCTGAAACAAAATTGGTTTTTGTCTTGTTGGTTTCCACCCTCACCGTTTCATCAATTGCAAGTTTAAGTGCCACCTTTCTTTACATTTTTGAGTCTGTTATCGCTATTCCCTTCCTTTGCTTTTTGTCTTTGTGAGTTATACCATTCTTTAAAAATTCCTTTGCAAATATTTTATTAGATTTTCAGGAGGGAGCATAAAGAGTGTATTTCAATAACTGTGTTCAACTGGAATTCCTATATTACATATCGTCGTATATATTTATTGATTTAAAATTGGTTGGTCTCTGTAGGAAAGTTCCAGGACAGGGACCCTATATTTTCCTTTCCTTGTACCTCCTGTGTTGAGCACATTTCACTGAATGAATGAAATGATTTGAAAGAACTGCTTGCTGACCGTTTGGCAATTCTCACCATGCCTCTGACTTTGTTGTTATGTCTCCTGCAGCACATTGTGTTCTTAGTTAAATTTTTGTTGGCCTGGATGATCCCTGATGTTCCAAAAGACGTTCAGGAGAGAATCAAGCGAGAGAAGTTAATGACTGTCAAGATTCTCCATGACTTTGAGCTTAACAAATTAAAAGAGAACCTGCAAATGGATGCTAATGAATTTGCCAAGGAAGTCATGATTCAGGAAAACAAAGTACAGCTGGCTAAATCAACCATCTAGTCGCCATAATGAGCAAACAGCTGGTTGCCTGTCTGGCTTCACGGTTTTCCCTGGGTTGGGGCCGGAGGCCAGAAGCCATGTGTCCATTTTATCCCTTCTTCTTTTTCTTAACTCAGAGTTTTTGTACACTTTTATAGAGGCCAACTTTGAGGTTGGAAGTGTACCACTTGTGTGCTCCATTGGCTGGGTCCTCCCTAGATGTTGATTCCTGGGATTCTGTAAATGATTGTTCAAAGTGCATGTGGAATCAGAATATTGGAAAATCATCGAATGTTGCAGATGCACTGGACCTGTGCTGTCCCATCACCTTCCAGTGCATCTGCACATTTTCATGGTCTTTGAGTGGGTTGTTTTATATCTCTTTTCCATCAAGAAAAGTGTTGGGACAAAAAGTAAAGAAGCGAACGAGCCTAATGAGTCACTTTATTCTGCCATTTTACACTACACAAATGAAAAAACAAAATCAGATGACATAAGAAAACGCCCATATTAAAAATATTGGGTAAATCTCATAGCGACGGTGTGTTTCTGAAATTGTCCTGAATAAATTAAACTTCTGTCAGAATTCCAGGTGGTCCTTCCGGGTAAATGCAGAATTGATTTTTCAAGAGACTTTGGGTTTCAAATGCTTGGATTTCAACAAAAGACCAAGTCAACAATTTAAAGATAACATTTTGGTGACAGTAGTTTCAAAACTAGATTGTCTTGTCTGGAAAAGAACATTAAGTTATTAGATTGCTGAAGGTCTTCACATAAATGAAAGATATTATAGAATAGTAAATGTCTCTTTTTAGTAGTTAAGGAATGCAAGACAATGTATATTGATCAATTTATTGATCTTAATATAAAAAAAGTCTTTGAATTATCTTAAGAAATTACTTGTCTTCTACAATGCCTGTTTTACATTATGAAACCTGTTAGAGCATTATCTATTTGTATAAGTTAGGTACAAGTTCTTTATGAAATTTAATCTCTTTGTTTAAAGCCATCTCAAATCTTTTAATGAGTTTACAATCTTTTCTGTGATTCATCCCTTCATACGTACTCAGTGCCTTGTCCCTATGCCTTTGACACACAAGTGGTATTGTGGTGGTTGATTTGATGTGATGTAAAATCTCAAACGTGAGCCGGCTTTAGAGAAATTGGCAGTTTAACATCAAGAGTTTAATACCAAAAATGGATCAACTAAGTAAGAAGAAGGTGGTAGATTTGATAGCTAATTGAAAAAAATTTTTGTTGACTAGTTTCTCTCATACTTAGTCCTATGCCACATGTACACTAGTTCCTGTTCTTTCCCTTAAAAAATTGCTTCATTTATATTTTTAACACTATAGAGTGAGAGATACACGTCAATTATATATTATTCGAATCTCTAGTTTCAAATTACAGTTCAGTTCCAAAAGAAGAGTGTTTTTAATTGCACATGAAAGAAGAAACTTTATCACAAGATTTTTTTTGAAGTGTTTCATTATTTGATGCTAATATATTTTTGTGGCATTATCAGTATTAAGAACTGAAGATTATGAATTTTCTAAAACCATGAGACAGTTTCCCCAATATTGGCAGTAATGATTTGCCCTCCACTGGGTAAATTTTATGAATATCTTTGTGTAATTTGGAATGATTTCATTATTGAAGCATGATTTCACCTGTGGAGGAGATATATTTCTTGGTTGAGCAAACCTATCAGTATTACTATGAAATAAGCCACCAATGCAGTATCTTTGACTTGTTAAATCAAACTTGGTGTTATTACAATATTGCACATCGTGCACTGCTCATATTGCTTTCTTCCTGGGTGCTAACAAAAATGAGTGTGGAAATTGGTTTCTTAGAGCTGTTAATTTGTTTAGACTAACAGTATTTATAGAGCTAGATTGTAAGAAAATACAATCTTCTGTACACTACAATCTAAACCAACTCAAACGTCCGATTTCTAGGATGTATGGAGAGAATAAGAGAGAAAATAGTTTTTAAGATCAGTTAATAGTTCCTATGATTGGTAGATAGTCTCCTTTTAAAATATTATCAATAAATACCTTGTGTTTATGTTTCAATTTTCTACCAAGATTTTTCCCCTTATTTCACAGATTTTAAAATGAAATACAAGTATTCATCACTTTCCTAAAAGCTTGCCAAAATCCGAAGCCAAATCGACCCAGATAGATTTGCCTTATCTAATTAAACCCATTGATTATTATGAGAGGGCTGAATTAAGAGCACTGACCACGTGTAAGTTGATAGCTGTCAGCATGGCAGATGTTTCTATCATCCAATTAAAACCATAGGGTTTTTTTTGTGGTTTTTTTTTTCAGAAATGTTCAGGAAGCATTTCAGGTTGTTTTTTTTTAAATAATTTTAAGTGCAAAAGCCCAAAAATACATAACTCTTTGCAAATGTCATCTCTAATCCTTGCCTTCGTCAGTTTTTCTTTGAACACAAGAAGCAGAATCCACTTCAAAACATTTATTTTCGAGGAATCCATCAAAAAGAAAATATCTTAATTAAGTGGAATGCGGTCTTATTTTTGCAGCATCTCATGACTCCTCCTGGATTTAGCATTCTTTTATCTAAGCCATGAAGCAAGTTATCAAGGAAAAAAAGGCAAGCCAATGATAAAGAAGAGAAGGGACAGAGGACGGAGATAAAAGAGCTCTCACCTTAGAAACCTGTGCATATTTCCATGGCGATAAAGGTGTGAGGCAGCATCGTGCAGCCGTGGGGGGATAAGAGGGATGTCTCTTTCCTAAGCCATCTAATGAGGGTGAGAGAAAAGCCAGAGATTTCAAGTTGGAAGCTACTGTGTCATAAGTAAAACGGATCCCAAAGTGATTTTATAGTGATGAATGTTATGTGTAGCCCTGGCTCCCTATTGATGGACTCCAGTTGAAGGTGAGGAATTTGTACTGCTCATTCAAAAGAGGAGTCTATTGTTTTGAAAAAAAACTATTTGTTTTTTAATGAGTTGTTATCGTATCAAATAATGTTATTAAGGAAAATAGTGTTGCAAGAAGCACCACCGGCCAGGCTTAGAAGTTTGCTACCATTATTCATTATAAGTATTATATTGATCCTTTGCTAGACAAATTATTACTCTTCTATTTTATGTGTAATAAAAGTATTTCAGTTTTTCCAGCATTATGTAAAAATTCATGAGGATATTAAAAAGAATAGCGTGGTTCAATTGCGTGAGATACCTGCTTTCCTCCCCAAAAAATGTTTGACTCGGTACATCGTTCCTATGAGTGATTGTATGCCATGCTGTTAACCAAGGAAATAAGTTCTGCGTTTTCTTTTCTTTCTTTCTTCCGTGTATGAGTGTGTGTGTGTGAGTGTGTGTAGGAGAGAAAGAGGGCGTGTGAGTGTGCGCGTGTTCACGCATGCGCGCGAGGAGGTGGGTTTGCAGGTTTGCAGGGAAAGCTGCTCTTAAGTAACATGAATCTCAAGAGATTTAAATTCATGCAGTGAATAAAGTAATATTAATTTTAAACTATATTTTCACATGAACTCTAGTTGTTTTTACAATAAAATGTTGATATAATTTTTCTGAATTTGAGTGCTCAAAGAGGTTTATTTTAAGATTGTTTTATTAAAATATAGCTAACGTACAATATTTCTCAGGTGTGCACAATAGTTATTCAACACTTATATACCTAAAGAACTGATCACCATAAGTCTAGCAACCATCTGACACTGTACAACATTATCATAGTATTATTATTATTATTATTATTATTATTATTATTATTATTATTATTTAAGCCGAGCCATCCTGCCACCTGTTGGCAACTCAGCAGCAGCTCAGCTTGGGCCGGGAATTGAACCAGCAACCCTGTTGCTCAGAGTTGCACTTTTGAGCAAGCTCTTAACCAACTGAGCCACTCAGCCAGCCCCTTATCATAGTATTATTGACTATATTGACTATGCTGTACCTTACATACCCATGACTCATTTGTGTTGTTTTTTGGGTTGTTGTTGTTTTTTTCAATTTTATATTAATTTCAGGTGTTCAGTGCAGTGGTTAAGCATTTATATAATCTATGAAATGATCCCCCCAATAAGTCTAGTACCCATCTGACACCCTACATAGCCTTTACAATATTACAGATTATATTTCCCATACTGCACACATTATTGATTATATTCCCCATACTGTATTTCACATCCCCATGATTATTTTGTAACTATCAATTTGGACTTCCTAATCCACTCACCTTTCTCACCAAACCCACACCTCTCTCCCATCTAGCAACCATCAGTTTGTTCTCTGTATCTAAAAGGTTTTTAAATCCTTTTTTGTTTAGGAACATTAATATGCATTACATGTAACATGTTTAATTCATGAAATTACATTTATCATATATAGAGATCTAAATTTCTTGAAATAAGAGGTCAGATGGTCCAGAAAATTTGGAGATGTTGGTAGTTTTTATTGTTTTGCCTCATTATTTTTTTCTACTTTGGGAGGTGATACAGGTGAATATAAAGTCCCAAGGAAGTAACTAGTATGTTGAGATATTTTCTGAATTTTCTTCTAGTCCCATCTTTCCCCTAAAGAAATCCACAACCACCTTCATGGGAATAATCTGGGCTACTTGTGAGAAATGAATGTCCCTAGATCTCTGGGAACAGAGTCTTTGGGAAAGGAGCTTTAAAAAAAAAAAGCTTCAGGGTTACCTTTGGGGAGTATAAGACTGATGACTATTTCATAAAAATGCCAAATTCCCTAACCTAGAGCATTGTTTGTAATAACTCTCAAACATTCATTTATCGTTCCAACCCATTAGGGAAGTATGTCAAGTCATGTAGACTCCAATCTGTAGAATTGCTCTAATTCTGCAGTATGCAGAAGTAGTTTAAATCATGTACCCTAAAAGTCCTAGACCTGTAATTTCTACTTAATTAAAAAGAAGTGGGGGCAGGATAAGATAAAATGTACTTGCTTTTATCAGCATATTCAAGAAAAATGCATACTGGCCAGAAATTAAGGTGAAAGCATCACATTCTAAGTAAAGGAAAACTGAATTGCAAGTAACGTGTATTGCAAGTGTTCTGTAAGACGAGCAAACATTTCTAATACATTTTAAGGTGGTAAACAAGCAATGTCTTGCAATACGAGTAGTTTGTTTCCAGAATGAATTATGCTCGGAAACCAAGGTGTTACTGTATTTGAAAGAACAAATAGATTCTTACATAGAATTTAATCAGGATAGCAAAATGTTGTAGAATAAAGGATTTGTTACAGAAAATAGGCCTTTCGAAATTGTGGAAGGAAGTGGGAAGTAAAGGTCAGGAAGGGAGATTTGGAGAAAAGACACCATTCGGCTCTCCTGAAACACGGCCATAGGTGGACAAATTGGAGCACGTACAGCTATCCAAGTGCTGGCATGAGATTGGGAAGGCAGGCTGGTGAAGAAGTCTATGGAAGCTGTCACTTCTGTGTAGCTACCACTTCTGAGACTTTGCAGCGAAGCCTCATGTATGGGCTTGGGGTCACTTCTGGTCAGGAATTCAGACTTGGAGTGGAAAAGAGTGAGAGCAAGCTTGAGCCCACTGGATGGATGCCTTTCTGTGTGTCCTTCACCATAAGTGGCCTCAAAGGCCTTCAGAGAGAAAGAAGTGCTGCTTCACTTCTGTCTGCCCATTTTGCAAATCTAACCTGACACCATAGAGGAAAAGACTCCTGGGAAATGCAGCTCCACCTCAACCAAGTTGCATAGTACAAATTACCATATAAACAAAACAAAACAAACAAAAAACAACCATTGACTGTTGATCATTTGAACAATGCGATTAAAAAGTAGAATTAATTTGCCTCCATAAAATGTTGTACTCAATGTCATGGTTGCTCACAGGTTGTGAAAGAATTGACAAGGTGCAAAGGGGTAGAAGTCAGAAAATTTATATAAGAAAGGAAACACGGGCAGAGGAGTTGCCTGGGACAGAGTTTAGAGTAGACAGCTGCAGCAGGTTTCTGTTTAGCTGGGGTTTTATATTTTTCTATCCAGGGTCCAGGGTGCTTATCAGCCTGCAGGAGGGCTGCCATTATAGTTGGTTTCCCCTGGGAACCATTCTGTTCCCACAGCTAGCCAGGGGATTCAGAGCCCAGCGATTAATTTTTAAGCTTGTTCCTGTTAACTCACAAACTTATTCTTCTTAACTCTTTACCTGTCTCATTACTCAATAACCAAAGAATAGTATTTCTTGGCAATCACATTCTAAACATTTACAAAATCTGACCAAAAACCAAGCTATTAAAAAGAATTCTCACCCAATACCAGGCTATTAAAAAAACTCACCCAATTTCAAAGGACTGAAATTGATCAGATAATATGTCCACAATCAAATGAAACTAGAAAACAATTTTTTTAAAAAAAAGATAATTAGGAAAATTATGTCACAAATTTTGTACACGGGTATTCATTTGTCAAAACTCATCCACCTCAACTTAAAATGGGTGAAATCTATAAATATCTCAACGGCATTGACTAAATAAAAAAAAAAGTAGATATTGCTACACCATCCATTTCATGGAGCATGAAATATCTAGGCATAGGTCTCCCCCCTTGTGTTTGGCAGAGCTGGGGTTCAAATCTGTGTTTCTGGTTCTCAAATTGGTACTCCTAACTAACCAAAACAACGTGTCCAATATTAAGGATCACATAGATGGACGAAAAAGTCTACAGAACTAGAAAGTACCTAAACCTGCCTTGGTCTTTCCAGTAGAATTTGTAGTTCTCACAAAGAAGCCACTTGGTGGTGACAATGCCATAAAATTGCTGCTGCAAAGAGCAAAGCCTCCTCTATCTTCCAAACATGTTACCCTGAGGGAAGCAAGACCCTCATGGCTCAGAAGGCCGTGGCTGCATCCTATATACCTTCATGCATCAACAGTTGTTAAGATCACCAAAACATTTTGCTGAATGAATGGAACATAATTATCATTTATGACATCCTTACCAGGAAACAGCACATTTCATCCTTACAGTTTTCCTGTGTTTTATATCGTATGATCCCATTAAACTCATGAGGGAATTTAGTCACGGAAGAAGGCTAACCTAGCTATTGCTAATAAATGTCAGAAGTAGGATTTAGATTCAGGGCTAAGACTGGTTCTTAAATACTATGTGGCATTTTCCACTATGTACCCATTTGATGTATTTTTATTGGCAGAATTTCTGAAGAATAAGCATCTGTGATAAAGTTCTAATATTATCTGATGGTAGAGCAGGCTGTTTTAAGGGATGGTACCTCCTATCCCTGGAAATTTTCTTTGTCCCCAAGCTCAGACCCTTTGAGACTTTCATTGCTACTCTTATTTGTCACAAAATGTTCTAAGAATACTTCTAGATGTACTCCTCTACTCTGGCAAAACCTAGCCTCTCTGGAAACATCAATGCTAGGGTAGCTGGGATCAGAAAGGCAGAATCAGCATTTGATTATTAAGCATTTTACATATTAAGTACTATTTCTTTTTTTGTGAACTCTAGTTTGTAAAATAGGGATTGCTATCTGTATGTCGTATGTAAAGAAACTGAGGCTCAGGTGGATAAAGTGTCTTCTCCAATATGTAACAGTGGACTTACTGTTTCTTTTTAAAACCTGCTCAAAAGTGAAGTGAATTAGCTATCTGCTAAAAATGGAGTGTTCATAGTTGGGGATTTTAGTTGTAATGCAATAATTTGTGAAGGCTTGCCAGGAAGATTTATGTGTCAGAAATGATTAATATTTATTCTCACAAATAATGTGAAAGCAAGAGGCAGGGTGCTACAGAACAAGTTGAGGGGAAGCAACAATACTAACGGGCTATGGTGAGGGTGACTTCTGTATCCAGATACCAAGAGGCACGACTCCAACACGTCAGCAGCACGTGCCTTTGGTGAGTCTCTGATGGATCATGGACCCTAAGAGAGAAGGACTTGATGTGTGGGAATGAGATGTCTGTACACCTGTGTCCTTACAAAAGGAAGATTCCAGAGTAAAGGGAGACATGGGCTGGAAGCACTGTGCTTGCTGACGGTTTCCTGTCTTGGCATAATGTTCTTTCTGGGAAGACAGAGGTCACCTTGGTTCTTATGAAATCATTAGCATATTGAATGGGAAAAAAATGACAAGGGTAACTGAAAGAGATTTTCAATAAGATGACAGTGGGGGGTTCAGCTTAATGTGTGTTCATAATCACTTGCTTTTCATACTGCAACTTCAAGTTGGGTTACTCTTTTCTTTCTTACATCCTTCATTATTTTTGTTACTTTACTTTTTGTCTTACTCTTGCCTTCTTCTTTCCCTTCCTTTTTCTTCCTCCCCCACCCTCTTTTATTTTTTTTTTAATTTCTCCTTTCCTCTTTTAATCATATGATCAGAACAACCCAGGAAAACTTCTCACAACTGAAAACTGTCTCAATCCTTGTTTGAAAGAGATATAAAATGTTCTAAGCTGTCTCTTGTAGGACTAATTCGTCCAAGTAAGGACATAAAGTTTTGAAGAAACAAAA